CACTGTTAACAATAAAAACAACTGACATGACATTGCTTCTGTGGATTGCTTGTTATCACAAAGGAGTAGAAAGCTAATCTTTTTTTTTTTTCGGGTAAAAATTTAATCTAAAATAAAATAAAAAAAGCTAAAGTCTGTGAAAAGAATTCTAAATATAAATTATTTAACAAAGTTTTAAGTATTTTGGAAATATATAATGATATTTTGTTCTGCGTGTATTTAAACTGACATCAATTTCTGATTAGTCCAAAGGGTTAAACATTATTTACTCGAAAATATGGGGTTTAATAATAATATACGGTGTATTCATTGCTGGAAGATATGATTTACTTTCACCTTTCTCAACGTGTGTTTGTGTGTGTGTGGAAGGGGGGGGGGGGTAACAAACTAATGGACATAGAAGAATAAGAAAAAAACGTATGATTGCCTATATATATATATATATATATATATATATATATATATATATATATATATATATATATATATATATATATATATATATATCAGTATGTATATACGCATGTTTATATGTATTCACATATATTTTTTTTAATGTATTTACTTTTTTTTACCTCCCCTACATGGATTAACATATAAGTTATTACGATTCTCAACAAAACTGTTTACCTCAGGCATATTTTGCAACGTAGAGTTAATGTGACTGTGCTCAGATATAATACTAAAGATTTTTTAAATAGACGGTTATAAATACAGCTTGATGAAGCATGTTTTCTCTATCATTAGCAGGTTTACGTCATGGTGTCACCTCCCCCCCCCCCCCAACCTTGTCGGGATTTGTCAAATTTGCTCTTAAACACTCTAAATAATCACTTAATTAAGTGGAATTATCATTTTTCTATATACATTTTGCTTTTTTTGGCCTTGGTGTCACCCCCCCCCTAAATGGTGACACCCGGTGCGGTCCGCACCCCCTTGCTACGCCTCTGCTTGATACTATAGTTCCCTTGTGTTACCAGTGCTTGATAAAAATTACTTTGTGTCACCAGTGTTTGATAATTTAGATGTGTGTCACCAGTGCTTCATAATGTAAATTGTCACCAGTGATTTCAATTAAAATGTATTGCCTTTTTTGTGTCAATGTTTGATAATGTAGACCCATCTTGTCACACTGCTTAGTTATGCTGGCTCATAATGTCACTAGAGATAGTTATCTAAATTGTTTATTAACATTTGATTGTATTTTTTATTTTTTTTATTTTGTGTTGCCGGTTGGTCACCATGTACAGGAATAGTCACCATGTGTTGTGCAGGAATGGTCACTATGTGAATGGATGGTCACCATGTGCAGGGATGGTCACCATGTGATGTGTGCAAGAATGGTCACCATGTGCAGGGATGGTCACCATGTGAATGGATGGTCACCATGTGAATGGATGGTCACCATGTACAGGGATGGTCACCATGTGAATGGATGGTCACCATGTGCAGGGATGGTCACCATGTGTTGTGCAGGGATGGTCACCATGTGAATGGATGGTCGCCATGTACAGGGATGGTCACCATGTGATGTGCAGGGATGGTCACCATGTGCAGGGATGGTCACCATGTGCAGGGATGGTCACCATGTACAGGGATGGTCACCATGTACAGGGATGGTCACCATGTACAGGGATGGTCACCATGTGCAGGGATGGTCACCATGTGTTGTGCAGGGATGGTCACCATGTACAGGAATGGTCACCATGTGTTGTGCAGGGATGGTCACCATGTACAGGGATGGTCACCATGTGTTGTGCAGGAATGGTCACTATGTGAATGGATGGTCACCATGTGCAGGGATGGTCACCATGTGAATGGATGGTCACCATGTACAGGGATGGTCACCATGTGTTGTGCAGGGATGGTCACCATGTACAGGGATGGTCACCATGTGATGTGCAGGGATGGTCACCATGTGAATGGATGGTCACCATGTACAGGGATGGTCACCATGTGATGTGCAGGGATGGTCACCATGTGCAGGGATGGTCACCATGTACAGGGATGGTCACCATGTACAGGAATAGTCACCATGTGATGTGCAGGGATGGTCACCATGTGAATGGATGGTCACCATGTGATGTGCAGGGATGGTCACCATGTGAATGGATGGTCACCATGTGATGTGCAGGGATGGTCACCATGTGATGTGCAGGGATGGTCACCATGTGAATGGATGGTCACCATGTGCAGGGATGGTCACCATGTACAGGAATAGTCACCATGTGATGTGCAGGGATGGTCACCATGTACAGGGATGGTCACCATGTGATGTGTGCAGGGATGATCACCATGTGAATGGATGGTCACCATGTGATGTGGAGGGATGGTCACCATGTGAATGGATGGTCACCATGTGATGTGGAGGGATGGTCACCATGTGAATGGATGGTCACCATGTGATGTGAATGGATGGTCACCATGTGCAGGGATGGTCACCATGTACAGGGATGGTCACCATGTGAATGGATGGTCACCATGTGCAGGGATGGTCACCATGTACAGGAATGGTCAGCATGTGATGTGAATGGATGGTCACCATGTACAGGGATGGTCACCATGTGAATGGATGGTCACCATGTGCAGGGATGGTCACCATGTACAGGAATGGTCAGCATGTGATGTGAATGGATGGTCACCATGTACAGGGATGGTCACCATGTGAATGGATGGTCACCATGTACAGGGATGGTCACCATGTGAATGGATGGTCACCATGTGCAGGGATGGTCACCATGTGCAGGGATGGTCACCATGTGAATGGATGGTCACCATGTGCAGGGATGGTCACCATGTGATGTGAATGGATGGTCACCATGTACAGGGATGGTCACCATGTACAGGAATGGTCAGCATGTGATGTGAATGGATGGTCACCATGTACAGGGATGGTCACCATGTACAGGAATGGTCAGCATGTGATGTGAATGGATGGTCACCATGTACAGGGATGGTCACCATGTGAATGGATGGTCACCATGTGCAGGAATGGTCAGCATGTGATGTGCAGGGATGGTCACCATGTGATGTGCAGGGATGGTCACCATGTGCAGGGATGGTCACCATGTACAGGAATGGTCAGCATGTGATGTGCAGGGATGGTCACCATGTGCAGGAATGGTCACCATGTGCAGGGATGGTCACCATGTGCAGGGATGGTCACCATGTGCAGGGATGGTCACCATGTGATGTGCAGGGATGGTCACCATGTGCAGGGATGGTCAGCATGTACAGGGATGGTCACCATGTGCAGGGATGGTCACCATGTGCAGGGATGGTCACCATGTGCAGGGATGGTCACCATGTGATGTGCAGGGATGGTCACCATGTGCAGGGATGGTCACCATGTACAGGGATGGTCACCATGTGCAGGGATGGTCACCATGTGCAGGAATGGTCACCATGTACAGGGATGGTCACCATGTGCAGGGATGGTCACCATGTGAATGGATGGTCACCATGTGAATGGATGGTCACCATGTACAGGGATGGTCACCATGTGATGTGAATGGATGGTCACCATGTGCAGGGATGGTCACCATGTGATGTGAATGGATGGTCACCATGTACAGGGATGGTCACCATGTGATGTGAATGGATGGTCACCATGTACAGGGATGGTCACCATGTGATGTGAATGGATGGTCACCATGTGCAGGGATGGTCACCATGTGCAGGGATGGTCACCATGTGCAGGGATGGTCACCATGTACAGGGATGGTCACCATGTGCAGGGATGGTCACCATGTGAATGGATGGTCACCATGTGAATGGATGGTCACCATGTACAGGGATGGTCACCATGTGATGTGAATGGATGGTCACCATGTGCAGGGATGGTCACCATGTGATGTGAATTGATGGTCACCATGTACAGGGTTGGTCACCATGTGAATGGATGGTCACCATGTGCAGGGATGGTCACCATGTGCAGGGTGGTCACCATGTGAATGGATGGTCACCATGTACAGGGATGGTCACCATGTGCAGGGATGGTCACCATGTGAATGGATGGTCACCATGTACAGGGATGGTCACCATGTGCAGGGATGGTCACCATGTGAATGGATGGTCACCATGTACAGGGATGGTCACCATGTGCAGGGATGGTCACCATGTGCAGGAATGGTCAGCATGTGATGTGAATGGATGGTCACCATGTGCAGGGATGGTCACCATGTGCAGGGATGGTCACCATGTGAATGGATGGTCACCATGTACAGGGATGGTCACCATGTACAGGGATGGTCACCATGTACAGGGATGGTCACCATGTGAATGGATGGTCACCATGTACAGGGATGGTCACCATGTGCAGGGATGGTCACCATGTGAATGGATGGTCACCATGTACAGGGATGGTCACCATGTGCAGGGATGGTCACCATGTGCAGGAATGGTCAGCATGTGATGTGAATGGATGGTCACCATGTGCAGGGATGGTCACCATGTGCAGGGATGGTCACCATGTGCAGGGATGGTCACCATGTGCAGGGATGGTCACCATGTGCAGGGATGGTCACCATGTGCAGGGATGGTCACCATGTGCAGGGATGGTCACTATAGTGACGTTCACAATATCAGACACATCGAGAGACCTTTGTAAACACGTTTTAAAAATTAAACTATCTGTTGCCAAAATTTCTCATCAGGACCCTGGTAAAGAATGACCAGAAACTACGTGTATGTCCAGGTACTGAGGGCAGCAATGTATGATTCATGATGGTGTTACAGTTTTACCAAAAAACTGTAGGGGGGGGGGTTATACATGACCTACATCGATCACAATTATGTATATTCAGTTAAAAAATGTGTAGTTACAAATCAGTTTCATTTTACAGTCTCTAATTATGAAAGTTTAAAGTTCATTGGACAACCTGTTGAGTTTCTCACCTAATCTCTGCTTATCTTAAACAGGTTGCCAGTTCACAACAGTACCTTATCGCAACTTGCTGCCACACAACCTAAGCTAAGTGAGACTATCAAATACATTAACAAGGACCAGACTAAAAAACAGCAACAACTTTCTTTAGACACTGTACATTGTTTATTGAAGTAGACTTTGATCAGTGAGATATTTGTATTGGGATGTGTGCAGCCTTGCTTTAATTAGCATCCAGTGATGAAGGTGTCCAGACTAATGTCAAGATGTATTAGGAAGTGTCCAGACTGATGATAAGATGTATTAGGAAGTGTCCAGACAATGTCAAGTGTTCCATATGTCTGGCCACGTACTACGATGCGTGCCTGAGAAAGCCTCCACATAACACACACATGAACTGTAACTTCACCATACTCACATCTGAAATAAATTTTTTTTTTACCTGATATGTTGTTTAGAGTTGTCAATGATGTGCTTATACATACTGATACACTTACAGACATCAGCAAATAAAATCAATTTTGTGTATTAATATAACCTTATATTCTCTGTTCTATTTAAAATAAACATTAAACAGCTATGCTTTTACAAATGGCATTCTATTAGTTGTAAAACAAATGATGACTGCCAATGTGGCAAGTGTAAACAAATGAGATGACTGCCAATGTGGCAAGTGTAACAGACTCACTTGAGAGAAGCTCTGGGCTGACTGCTGGATGTCCACATGACTCACATGTTCTCACTGATGGGTCCTGGCAGGGCAGGAGACTCAGGCTGCACAGATCTGGGAGATACAGACATTGAGACAGACATTGACATGGGGCAGACAATGACATCAGACAGACAATGACATCAGACAGACATTGACATCAAACAGACATTAACATCAGACAAACATTGACACTGACCAGACGCAGACATTGACATCAGACATACATTGACCAGACATTGACATGAGGCAGACATTGACACTGACCAGACATTGACATGGGGCAGGCATTGACCAAACTAAGAAAACATTGACGGACCCCGCCCAAACAAGAATCCAACCATCCATCAACTTACGCATGGTGTGTCCCCTTGTACACTGTACCATTAGCTGACCTATCAGTTGGAACTGTATGCTGGGTTAAGATTTGTTACCTCAACTTTTTTCATTTAACACTTTCTACTCAGTTTTAAACATTCAAAGTTTTTTTTCATCCTAGCAAGCACTGGCCTTAACTCTAGACTTGTTTTTTTAATAAGTTTTAAAAGGATTTTTAAATGAAATTAAAATCACAAAACTGATTATAATAATTGGTAAAAAAGTTCTGAAACAAATGTTCCATTTATACAAGTCACTAAGTTGAAAAGTTCTAAAACAAATGTCCTATCTATACAAGTCATCATGTTAAAAAAGTTCTGTAACAAATGTCCCATCTATACATGTCACTAAGTTAAAAAGTTCTAAAACAAATGTCCAATCTATACAAGTCACCTAAGTTAAAAAAGTTCTAAAACAAATGTCCCATCAACAAAGGATATCACTAAAACAGATAGCACACTTGGGAAAGTCCGAGTCCTGACAAGCACTTTTTAACCAGTCCAGATCAAGTCTCTCCTTGGCTCTTGTTAGCCTTGTGTCTTGGTCCATAATCCAGGTCAGCATGGCCTTCACTACCTGAATCTCTGGTAGATGGACACATCAGCATGCTGAGTTATGTCACCATTACAACATCAGCTTGGACACAGTTATGTCACCATTACAACATCTACATCCTCAGTCATGTCACCATTAAAACATCAGCAACCTCGGTTCTGTCACCATTACAACATTAACTCACTCACAGTTATGTCACCATTAAAACATCAGCATGGTCGGTTATGTCACCATTAAAACATCAACATCCTCAGTTATGTCACCATTAAAACATCAGCAAGCTCAGTTATGTCACCATTAAAACATCAACATTCTCAGTTATGTCACCATTAAAACATCAACATGCTCACAGTTATGTCACCATTACAACATCAACTCACTCAGTTATGTCACCATTACAACATCAACATCCTCACAGTTATGTCACCATTACATCAACATCCTCACAGTTATGCCACCATTACAACATCAACATCCTCACAGTTATGTCACCATTACATCAACATCCTCACAGTTATGCCACCATTACAACATCAACACCCTCACAGTTATGTCACCATTACAACATCTACATGCTCAGTTATTCAACACCCTCAGTTATATTACAATCATAATCATTCAAATGACTTGTATACCTGATTTATACATTTACCTTGCAAATCAGGAGCAGAAGGGAGTTGACTAAGACAAGACTCCACATGTAGAACTAGCAGACGTTCTGTGGTTTCTTCATACGACGAGCTCACCCATTCTAGCTCCTGTAGGTGAAGTTTTCACACAAGTTGGGATTTTAATTCTGAATTTCTAATTATAAACACACTCGGGTTCAGCAATTGAAGGAAAAACTAACCAACATGTAACTATACAATCTATCTCTAATCTAATTAATAATTGAAATTCATGGTTAACATTCAGTTGACCTACCCTTTCATACTGTATCTTTATTGTTGTCCAATGTTTCATAAACAATAACATGTCTCTGAGAAAAAAAAAAGGACAAAAATTTTAATTTAAAAGAAAAATAATTTACTATTTGGCTAAAAATGATCTAATCTGTTCATCAAAGTGTATTTTATGGCATGCTGGGATGATATAAAAATATATATGTAAATAACAAATATAAATAAAATTCAAAAACAAATAACGGTCATGCAAATTGTGAAGACGTTCAAGAAAACAAAATATAGTAATTCTATAGACCTACAAAAAGTAATGAACCAAACCTCATAATCTGCAGTGATTTTATAGTGTTGTAGCTGTCTAGTAGGTAATAAATGTCTAGCACATCTTTCAGATCTTCGTCGTTCTTAAATATTTGCTGAATGTAGAGGCGGAGGTAAATCATTGTATGCTGGGGGGACAGGAACACACCTGCAGATAGGTACACACCGCATGTTTTCATCTCTACATAGCAAACCTTTAGCACAGAGTTAGACGTTAAGTAACAGCATACGGTATCCAGGTTTAACAACGAGATACTTTTAAGTAATGCCCAACTACCAAACAATCCATAGCTTGGACATTTATGTTTTAACAATAAAAACAAAAAAATCATTTGTATGCAAAATGTAAAAATTACAGCGTCATGCATGAGTGCACTCAGCAAGCAATTTAAGCTTACCTGTAGTTACGAGTATTTCTTTCACTGCCTCTTTTGTCATTTTTAAAAGTGATGTCATTATGACCTAGTGACATAATAACAATAATTTAGTTTTAAATAATTATGTTGGTAAGTAGCATTAATATAAGAGTTTTTTTAACTTTATAATAGTTATTTATTTTGTACAGAAAATAATTTATAAAAAATGATAAATATGATACACAAAATCATTTTTAATGTTATAAAGTATCATTCAGATAGATAAATAGATATTTTAAGTTGGTGGAACTGCAGCACCATTATAAAAAAATTAAAAATATTTAACTAATGCAAAAATAATACCTTTTGTCTGTTCAAATATTTTTTGTTTAAGTCGAGTACTTTAGCACTGTAATTTATTCTGTTGAAGTAATGAAGTAAGTTAAGACAAAAATGTTAGTATGGTTGGAATATGCTAATGTATTCAGGAATTGAAAGAGTTTGTATAGAATGTGTAAGCAATGTAATCAGGAATTATCAAGCCACTGAATGGATGGTGAAACAATTTAACTAGGTGGTGAGACAGTTCAACTAAAGGATGGTGAGATGAAAGAACTTACAAGTGGGGAGTTAAACATGTACCAGAGAATGGTGAGACAGTTTATAAAGTAAATGGTGAGACATTTTATACAGTAAATGGTGAGACAGTTTATACAGTGAATGGTGAGACAGTTCAAACATTGAATGGTGAGACATTTTATACAGTAAATGGTGAGACAGTTTATACAGTGAATGGTGAGACAGTTTATACAGTGAATGGTGAGACAGTTTATACAGTGAATGGTGAGACAGTTTATACAGTGAATGGTGAGACAGTTCAAACAGTAAATGGTGAGACAGTTCAAACAGTGAATGGTGAGACAGACCATGCAGAAGACCATGAATGAAAGAACTAACTTGTGAGCAGTTAAACATATACCAGAGGAGGGCGAGACAGCTGTTCCCATACACAACCACTGGATCTCAAAGCCGTGGAGCAGACATGATATATTCATCTTAGAGAGGTCAAGAGATATTTGACCTGCAACATTTACATAATAATTAAAGCAGGAACATAAAAAAATAAATTGTAAGAGAATGATTTCAGATGGTAACTTAAATATAAATTTATTTTCAGGTGAAGAAGCTTTTTTTTTAATCTCTGAATACAGCTCTGAAAGACCCTCTATAAAAAGTTTGGTTTTAGGTTGTGCTTAGAACTAGATTAAAAAATAGTACCAGATTCTATTTTGATTTCGAAGTTATAATTGAGACCATCATGAGAAGAGGCAACACCATGCGCTCCACACATAGAAATAGCTAAGAAAAGATAAAAATATTTTAGTATATCTTTATAACCAATCAAATTTTTAAAAACTTTTTGTAATGAAACATGGTTAAGGCTCAAATTATTTAAAAAATAAAATTAAAATCATTTTAGTTTCATGGTTAGTGAATGTGAAGAGAGTTTTAGAGTTCAAACATTTAACTGTATCACTTACATGACAGAGGCATCCCAGAATCCACCAGATAATTGTTAGCAAAAAACATGGAGTAGTCCTTCAAGCCATAGACAAACAGAAAGTATTGTTTACAGACCACTAGCACTGAGGTTTCCTGAACAAAAAAGCACCATTCACCATGTTAAATAGCCATGGTCATGTCTAAAATACAAACTTGAATCTGTATAGAAAATTAAAAGAATTTTCATATTTGAAAGTATTTTCTTACTTTTTAAAGCAGTTGAATGTATTGGTGGTCAGAGAAGAACCATTTAATTACACACTTCTGATGTGCAAATTTAATATAATTATTTAAAAATTTAATACAAAGATGGCCAACAAACATAGTGTTGTTTCAATGCCCTTTATAATAAATATCTACATACATATGTCTTATTAGGGCATATAGGTTTAACCAAAAAGTTTTTTTTAAATATGTTGATAACTAACAGAATCGGCATTCATTTTGTCATTAACCATACTTATATCTCAATTTAATAAGACAGTGACTATAAAATCAACCCTCAGGTATTAAACTGTATGAAGTCAGACCTCAGGTATTAAACTGTATGAAGTCAGACCTCAGGTATTAAACTGTATGAAGTCAGACCTCAGGTAATAAACTGTATGAAATCAACCCTCAGGTATTAAACTGTATGAAGTCAGACCTCAGGTAATAAACTGTATGAAATCAACCCTCAGGTATTAAACTGTATGAAGTCAGACCTCATGTATTCAACTGTATCAAGTCAGACCTCAAGTATTTAACTGTATGAAGTCAGACCTCAGGTATTAAACTGTATGAAGTCAGACCTCAGGTAATAAACTGTATGAAATCAACCCTCAGGTATAAAACTGTATGAAGTCAGACCTCAGGTATTTAACTGAAGTCAGACCTCAGGTATTTAACTGTATGAAATCAACCCTCAGGTATTAAACTGTATGAAGTCAGAACTCAGGTATTTAACTGTATGAAGTCAGACATCAGGTAATAAACTGTATGAAGTCAGCCCTCAGGTATTAAACTGTATCAAGTCAGAACTCAGGTATTTAACTGTATGAAGTCAGACATCAGGTAATAAACTGTATGAAGTCAGACCACAGGTGTTAAACTGTATGAAGTCAGACCTCAGGTATTTAACTGAAGTCAGACCTCAGGTATTTAACTGAAGTCAGACCTCAGGTATTTAACTGAAGTCAGACCTCAGGTATTTAACTGTATGAAGTCAGACCTCATGTATTTAACTGAAGTCAGACCTCAGGTATTTAACTGTATGAAGTCAGACCTCAGGTATTTAACTGAAGTCAGACCTCAGGTATTTAACTGAAGTCAGACCTCAGGTATTTAACTGAAGTCAGACCTCAGGTATTTAACTGTATGAAGTCAGACCTCAGGTATTTAACTGAAGTCAGACCTCAGGTATTTAACTGAAGTCAGACCTCAGGTATTTAACTGAAGTCAGACCTCAGGTATTTAACTGTATGAAGTCAGACCTCAGGTATTTAACTGAAGTCAGACCTCAGGTATTTAACTGAAGTCAGACCTCAGGTATTTAACTGAATATAGTGAGACTAGGTCCAGATAAAAACAACACCAAACCCTGTTTGGGTGGGCCCAGCCCATGTCAGATATAGCAAGCTTGTCGGCCAACAGATCAGAAAATATTTCCCTCATGGCCAGACCAATGCTGTCCTCTGAGTCCACAAACACCTCCAGCACACGCACTGAGCCGTCAGCATAGCCGACAGACAGCAGACCTAATGGGAGGTTTATAGAAGGAAATATTTCTTTTAATTTTTTTTTGTTAGAGTCTGCAGTACAGTACAGCAATACAAATTGGTTTAACCCTCTACTGCCTACAACAATGTTATAAAAGATAGTGAGCAGGTTATCAAGAAGCATTAGAGATAATAAAGCTTTTAATTAAGTTCAATTTATAATGAACTTAATGATAGAAAGTAATTTTATTAAACAATTAAAAAGGCATTTTTAATTTTTAAGTAAGTTGTCTCCCTTCACATGTAGATTAGGGTACATGGATAAGGGTAAGCAGTAGGGAGTTAAACAAAAATAATTCTTTGAAAACAAGCAAACCATGTAATAGACCTTGAAGAGGTTCCTATTCAGTGTCTTGTCTAACTATATGGTTTACTAATGTTACATAGAAAAAAATTATACAATGTTGACATTAAAAACAAAGTTATTTCTAGCCACTGAAGAAGCTAAATACAATTTTACATACCCATGTATAAATTCTGAGGCAGCCATTTAACTGATGATACTTCGGAATGATATTTGTCTGTATACAGATGTATGAAGTCTTCTCTTTGGGAGACAAAATAAACAATCAAGAGTAATCACCTTCAAAACACAAACAAAGCAAAGATGTAAAAACTGAGATGAAACCAAAAGCTTACTTTGTTTCAAAAGGAATGTTGACCTTCCAGGCATTGACATTTCCATTTCTGGTGCCAGTAAAAAGTAACAAGAAAGGGGTTTCCCCTTTCAAGGTAAACACATTGGACCACTCAATCTCTGTAGGACAAGATAATTGTTTCCATATTTATTTAAAAACTAGGACAAGATAATTGTCGCATTATTCATTTAAAAACTATTAAATATATCAAGTTAAAATTTAAAACAAAATTAATTGTTTTAATATTTACTTATAGACTATAGGAATACCAAGAAAAATGTAGAGAACATTGACTCAGTCTATACTAAATGAAAATAAGAAAACTAATTAAAAACTTGGACTCAGCAGTGATGATACTGACCAACAGTTGACATGCTGTACATCAAATCAATGTAATCACTCAAACTAATGTCTTGACCAATCGTTAGAGGCAGACTCATATTTAACAAAGTCTGCTTTTTAATTAAAGGGCTACAATCCATTTGCTGAAAGAAAAGTAATGTTTAGTTGAAACTGAAGTACATTTCTATAAATATAAATTGCAATTATGCTAAAAAAATCAAGATTAAATTAAAATAAATATAACCATTTTTGCTTTTAGGTTTGTCTAATTACCAAAAGCAAAGACTTACTTACTATAACCCAGCCAGTAGGGGTATCAGTGAAAATGATAACTCTATGATCAAATGTTAGAGCAGCTAGAAGATTTTGGGGTCTGAAAATAGTAGATGAATTAGCTTTGAGTAAGCGTTTACACTGTTTCAACAAAGATTAATGTTGTAATATAAATTCTTTAAGGAATTAAAATTACCTTTGTGAACTCATATATACAGGGGAAAATATTGCATGTTTAAATGAATTCAACATAGCATTGGAATAAATAAAGTCTTCACAGAGTGAAGGATCTGTAATAAACCTCTGTTTTTCTGCTGCAAAACAAAAAAAGTCTATGAATTAATATAAAGGTCAGTAATTTAAGAAAATAAAAAGTAGCAGTGTAACTATTAACATTTTGCCTTAACGTGAAAAATGGATAAAAAAGAAACATAACTTAAAAACATGTAAACATCTTCAGTATGTAACAGAACTACAACTTTCCCTTTCTAAATCCAAGTGATTAAAGGATAATAAATTCACAAGAAAAATAATTTCTAAAAAAAAACTTCCTGGATGACCACAACTACACAACTTAAATGGAAAATATCCAAATTACAATTAAATAGGCCTATTTAAAAACCTTTAAGTATGTACATACATATTACTCATCAAATACATGCTTAAAATCTAAAAATGAATCAAAAGCTTTTATTTTATTCAAATTTTAAAATTTCTCTTATGATTAAAGACAGATACCTTCATTGAGTCGCGAGAGGGATGCTTTTAAAACCAGGAGATCACTTGTGAATGAAAAACTGTCCAGGTTGGTTGAAATGTCAGGAGTTTCATCAATTATTGTTCTATAAACATCTGTCATAGTGCTGAGGTTTGCATTTGATATCTAAAAAATTAGAAACAGGCCTATATTATAATAATATTTCAAGGAAAAAGGAAAAATAAGAAACTGTATTAAAACTAAGCCCAAAAGGCTATGTCCATACATAATAACATAACATGGGGTTTACCCAGTAGGCTTACCAGCTTCAGATTATTAATTTGATATTTAAAAAAAAATTAAAATTTAATTTACTAGTCCCCTATCTGTTACCACACTGTATGCAAGCACTGTATGCCTAAATCCTGTAAATTGTTGTGTAGTGTGTACTAGTAGTGTGTAGAATACAGTTACAATAAAGTATAAGTATTGCTGCTGTTGAACTTGGAGAATCATCATAGATAAATCTGTTTTTTAAAACTATTACTATTAGCAATACAATACATAGTTCATACTCATAGTACATACATACATACATTAATAGATCTATTATAGTTCTAGTATAGCCTATAGTATATCGTTATAGTATAGTATATAGGGCCTATACTATATAATACGATTAATAGTTATAGATTTGTAATAATTATGACATAGGCTAGATTCTAGATGACCTGAAGATAATTTAAATATTAAAATTTTCATATTTCCAAAGATGGGGGGGGGGGGGGGGTATAAAACGTCAAAACTTGTTCCAACGGGATTTCCCATAAAACAAGTGTTAAGTGTAGTGATTCTTATTCTAATAATACTGATGGTTCGTAGTAAATTAGATCTAGAAGCTAGATCTAGTTTCTTCTTTCTTAGCCGTTAGCACTGAATTGTGATGTGATGTGAACAACTTGTGTAGCTTGTGTGTAAGCAAGGCCAGTCTCCACCCAGTGAGCAGTCGAGTCGAGTCAGTTCGCGTCTGTCGTTACCGCTGTTACACGACATGTTACTTACAACATTTATTATAATAAGTTTATCTGCACAGCATAATGCAGCCTTGTTATCGTGAGACCACGATAGACATTTTGTTGAGTTAATAGTTGTAGCTTTTTCATCGAAAAGCGATAATATTTCTCTGTCCATTATAGACTTTTCTTCATTTAAAAAACTAACTTCGTGAAGACATAAACAAGAATATCAATTTCCGGTTGTTTCGGAAAACTGTTATTTCGATAAATAATAAAATGAGCCCTACCCTGACCTAATATAAATAGCATTTGTGCAAGTGGATCTCGCTACTAGATTTAAGTTTGATTAGGTCAACTTAATATAAATATGTTTTATAATTACATGAATAATTTTATTCTGTCAAAATAACAAAGAACATCAATGGTCTTTCTCTGTAAATAACATAACTGATAACCCTATGAGTGAATATTAGAATAAAGTGGGGTGCGATATATAATGTGTGTGTGTGTGGAAGGGGGGGGGGGGGGTGAGTAACCAAATATCAGCTTATGATGGTGGGTTTTTTTTTCCAGAATAGTGTGTTTGTTGGCATTTACGGAATTTCGGTATTGTTATCTGGATGAACTGCCTATTTGGCACTATAGTCCGCCGATCATTATAAATATATTGTCATAAATTTATTGTCAGATGTATGAATGTCCATATTATTATTATAAGTTACTAGCCGTCCCGGTCAGGCCCTGCACTGGCATATCTGAAAAACGTATCTGTAAAGGACTATAACTTGTGTGTTTAGTAATCAGCATTTACCCGGCATTGCCCACCCTAACCACAACCTACCAAAACACAAAACAAAAAAACAAAAAAACCGCAAACATAACACTAACACAAAACAAACACAAACGAAAACACAAAAACAATCACAAAGACAAACCCAACCACTAACGCAAAGAAAACACAAACACTAACGCAAACAAAAAAGCAAACGAAAACAAATCCAAACGCTAACACAAACCCAACCACAACCAAACAAAACCAAAACACACACACACACAAATGTTGCAATAGCACTATTGAAATGTATTTGTGCACAGTGTTGTTTATTTAATATTTCTAGTTGTTCTGATGTTCAAAAAATTAACTAATTTTTGAGGGACAGTCAAATTGTAACATACTACTAACTTCTAATGACGAAAAGAGAAACGTCGAAATCACCGGCTCAACCCAAAGCTAACTCAATGAACTAAAGAGTTCATTATTAAAAGCGAAAGTCCAGCCAGTTGTCTAAATAAAAGTAAATTCAAATATGTCATTTTTGTTCAATTTTGATGCCCCAGAATCAGATCCTGCAGATACAGGTTCATTTTCTATTTTTATTTTTTAAAATAATAATATAATTATTAGATCTACCTAGCCTAATAAATATGCATTAATTAAAATTATCGTTATCACTCACTTATCAGCTCAGAGTTTTTACTTGGTAAATAAAAAAAAAAGCAGTTTGTTGAATTTTTATGGGGAGCATACTGTAACGGTAATCTATCGTTTTGGGTACGTAAAATCGCCCGCGGCTATTTATGTACGAAAACGTTACCTCGTTGTCAAGGCTTTAATAGAAGTATATTGTCATACTTTTGTGTCAAATATTATAGATAAATGAATAATAAACCTAAATCAATGGCTAAATATATCGATATAGGCCAGAAATTAACTTTAAACAGCAGTGTCTGAGAGCAAGATTTGCTATATAAACAGCAGCCATTTGTAAAATAGAGTGGCTTCCCCCTGAATCTGGCGCTAAAAGCTTATAAAAATAAAACTTCGACAAGATGGCTGCTATAGTAAATGAGCATGGTTGCATCTGTTGGAAACATCGCTAGTCTTCATTTATTACGGAAAAGTTTTAATTCAATTGTTTAAAAACAGGTACATAAATGAATCAAGGAAACATTTTTGAATTTTTAAAAACATAAATCCTCCTCAAAATGTGAAATAATTATTAAAATTTAAGGAGTCACCTGTTTTTCACATTACAAATCGCGGGCGATTTTACGTACCCAAAACGATAGATTACCACTGTAACTAACTACTGGCATAGGTGATAGGGCCCTAGTTTGTTCCAGCTAGAATTGGCCTAAAAAATACATGGTCATGATGGTGTCTTAGTGCAGAGTGCAGTCCGAGAGTATGAGACTGTCAGTCTATCTCAGTCTCTCAGTCTGAGACATGAGGGGTAGGCCTTTCTGGGTAGACTGAGTAACTCACTTTGTTATTTGACTATTTGTAGCTAGCCTCACTGGAAGCTGTAAAAACAACTTTTAGTAAATGTATTGGAAATTTAAATTGAGGACTAAATAAAAATCTTGCAACCCAAGCTCATAAAAAAGTAAAAAAAAAAGTAAAATCATTTTTTAAAAATTTTATTGTTAAAAAATTGGCAGATTCTAGTCAGAAAAAGATACACATGTGCAATGTGAATGGAGAGAAACTACCGCCTTCATTCGCGGTGATGTTTTCGATGGTACTGTGCATGTGTGTGTGTATTAAGGTCACTGCGTAGGCACAGAACTATTGAGTTTCGTATTTTCTACCAAAACATCTTTTTCCGAGTAGTCATTTAAAAAAAAACACCACAAGTAAGGCTACAAAATAAAAATACATGCACCATAAATAAATATAAGCATATTTGCATATTATGTGAACATTTTAATAAAATAATATCTGGCAGATAAAGTAGAGTTCATCTGTTTCTGTAACTTTGGTATATGAAGGAATAGTGTGGTAAGCACTGTGCCCAGCCACCTTAACATTAGTAAGGTACACATCAGAGATGGGTAGAATCAAGGACATGCTACCAGAGGCGTAGTGAGGGGGGGGGGGGGGGCGGGGGGGGGGGGACATATGTCCCCGGGCGCCGACCTTAGGGGGGCGCCAAAATGGGTTGGAAAAACAAATTGAAAGTTTGAGGGGGGAGGTGTGAATCGAAAGTTTGAGGGGGGATGCAAATCGAAAGTTTGAGGGGGGTGCAAATTGAAAGTTTGTCCCCGGGTGCCGGGAAGGGTTGCTACGCCTCTGCATGCTACAGAGACTGAAGCCCACAATCCAAACTCAGGTCAGCAGTAGCATGCTCTACCAATGCTGTCCGACTATTGAAATATTCAACTAACCCACAAAAAATATTTAGTAGGGCTACTTTTGTCCTTTTGGAAGCAATCTGTTCAATAGGTCTCTAATGCAATGAATCAAACTAATAAAGTTACTTAAATCATAGTAGACTAGTAACTTGAGAGCAGTTGATCAGCAGCTTAATTTACGCAAATAGAAGTTCTTTCAGTTTCATTTCAGAAGGCCATGTTTCAAGAGTAATATTAATTCAATAAATAGGTCTAGAAGTTTATTAAAAAAAATGAAAAAAAAAAATATATGGGTTTGTTAAGTTGTAAGTAGTAAACTAGGAATTAATATTACTTACTTGTCTATAGGTAGTGTTTATTTCAAATTTCAGCCAACAAATACAGAAAATGCACAAGATTTTTGTACTGTGTTGTTTTTTTTACTTAAGGCTCCCCTGAACCATGCAAAGATTTAACAGATGTTTCTCCAGCATTTGAAGTCAAGGACTTTTTAAATAGTCTTTCAAGTAAGGTACTGATTATCTCTTTGATATTTTTTCAATTTATTTAATTTTTTTTCTACTTATTTAATTATGAACTTATTTATTTTCTCGATTACTACATTTACATGTCATGCACTACCATTTAAGGCTTATTGTTTTGACTGCATACACATCTTGATGTTCTTACAGGATTTATTCTAATATGTGCCATTATTCATAGCTCTATGCTTCTTTTGTAAATTAAAAGTTAACTTGTCATATAACTTAACTATAACAGATACTTGGAGGTGCTATTTGTTTTGATTGTATATAGCACATTTCTTTATTAACCTAATAATATTTAAAAAATTTAACTTGTCATAAATTATTGTAGGTAATTTGCAAAACAGTAAACTAAAGATTGTAAATTAAAACATTTATAACTAACTGTGACTTTTCCCCCAGCTTGATTTAAAGCAGTTGACCTTTGGAAAGCACACATTAAATATTGTAGATACCAGTTCTATTGAAGAAAAAATACTTGAAGAAAAAGACACACTTTCATCATCTGAGAAGATCATTAAAGCAGTTGTCTCCCATTCTGACTTAGTGGCAGGAGAGTACGAAGGTATAGTCAACTGTAATAAATGTTATTCTCAAACTCTTTTAAAAAGTATATCTTGCTAATTGTGTAATTAAAATGTTGTACTTTCTTATCTTATCAAACAATTTACTTGAATCTGTAAGGTATGAAGATAAGCTTTGAAACTTATAAACTGTATACATTTGTAATATATAATTAAATGTTATAAAATATTACATAAAATATAATTGAATTAACTTTACATTATTTGTACAGTCTGATTTATTTTAACGAATTTCATGTCTACATACATAGGGCTGTATATATATAATACTGTTTTACTTTCATACATTTGACTGTCATTGAAAGTATATATATGATTGTTTACTTTTTTAGGTGGATTAAAAATTTGGGAATGTGGATTAGATTTGATAAGTTACCTGTCATCACATCCATCTGGGACGTCACTCGACATCAAGAGGAAGCTAGTTCTGGAGGTTGTTTTTCTTACACTTTTAGGTTAGAAAATTGCCTGTGTCATTTTTGGTATTGTATTTGTGAGATAAGAATTTCTAAAGAGATATCTTTATAGAGCTACACTGTGTCACTCTATCTTTTCAAATATTTCTTGGTTAAAAGTTATGTTGATAATTTTGATACTAAAAATGTATAAAGCAAACAAGAGTTTAAAATCCTATTTTTACTATTTAAAAAATAGTGAAAAAACTTAAAATATTTAGTGAATGTTGGCTAAGCATTGTGTTTTGGTGGTCAGTTTAATCTTTGTACAGGTAGTCAGTTTGTATACAAGTTTTGTCTGCTTTCAGCTTGGGTGTGGTGTTGGCTTGCCAGGGCTTTACTGCATTAAGTGTGGTGCACAGCGAGTGGACTTTCAGGATTATGTAAGTTATTTGTTACATACTCAGGATTATGTAAGTTATTTGTTACACGAAATTAAACTCATGATTATGTAAGTTATTTGTTACACGAAATTAAGCTCAGGATTATGTAAGTTATTTGTTACATGAAATTAAACTCAGGATTATGTAAGTTATTTGTTACATGAAATAAAACCCAGGATTAAGAAAGTTATTTGTTACTTGGAATTAAACTCAGGATTATGTAAGTTATTAGTTGCATGAAATTAAATTTGGTATAAGTTTGTTGAAAATAGTTTAAGTAACTTCAATTTTTTTACGGCAATCCCCTTTTTCTGCTTTAGAAAAAATATTCCATGGGAAAAAAAAATAATGTGGGATGGAGTGGACTAGTGGTAGAGCACAAAGACTTAACTCAAAAGCCTCAAGTTCATACTGCTGACCACTATTTTTTTTCTGCCAACTGACTTTTTAATTTTTCACAGATCCATTCTTCCATAATTTCAAATAAAAAGGAGTAGCATTTATTTGAAGAAATGGAAATATGCAGTCATACTCTGTTTCTATTCCTCAAAAAAACTTTTTAAAACTTCTTTGAAATGGAGTTGTCATGTTAGATTCTAATTTGATTCCAATATTTGGCAATTGTAAGGCAGTACTGAATATAAATAGTTGTAGATTGTTTCAGTATGTCAACTGGCATTACAGATTAGCTAAAGTAACAGTTTCTGTGAGCAACTCTATAATGGTTTGATTGTTTGTGGTTCTGATAGAATGAGGAAGTGCTTCAAATCTTGACCCATACGAATGTTGTCAACAACTCAGAAGGTGGAGAAGTGAGCAGTCAGTTTTTTGCTGGTGACTGGGCAAGTTTCAGTCAACTAGCTGAACAACAGAATCTCAGGTTTGAACTTTTAAACCAATTGTCAATTCTTGTCTCAACTTGAAAATAGAGTCGTGTGATGCATCATGTGATAAAATCATGTGGTGTGTCAGCTGATTCTAATTGCTTTTATCAAACTCTATTTACCATATGTGTTCTTTTAATTAGGAAACAGCTGCATGTATTTATTTATTAATGCCTCATTAAACTTACATAGGTATGATATCATATTGAGTGCTGAGACTATCTACAACACAGAGAACTATCCAAAGCTGCATCAAGTTTTTAAAGCAACACTTGCCCAAAACGGACTTGTGTATCCTTTATTACAGCTGTTCTTCCAGCATTTGTTTAAGTATAAATAGTTTAAAATGTTTTATTTTAATTAATTGATACAGGTGCCTTTTTTTTACACAGTCATTTGATTAAGTTAAAGATTAAAATAAAAGCATAGATTTTGAAGTGGTGCATTTCTTTTGAAAAAGCAAATACATTTTTTTTTATCTCTGCAAAGTTGATCTGATAGTGTTTTTCTTTTAAATTAAAATCACCTTCCTTACAAATGATGAACAGATTACTAGCTGCTAAAGAATACTATTTTGGTGTTGGTGGGAGCATTGCTGCCTTTGAAGAATTTGTTACAAAACAAAACTGTTTCAGCATTGTAACAATGCATACAATTACTGAAGGTAAAACATGGTTTTAAAGTCATTTTTGTATTGCTCTAAATAATATGCACGACTGGTAAGTTCAGATTTGTCATACTTTAAATGTTTTTTATGGTTAAATTAGTTAAAATATTTTTTTTATTAATGCAGTCAAAATGTTTTTCAGGTATAGCTAGAAAAATCCTTTGTCTCCGTCACTTATCTTCTCAAGAACCAAGCTGAGATTTCATGGAAATTAAATTTTTAAAACATTTATTTTTCGACTGTTCTTTTTTTATGTTCTGGTCCAGAATTCACCAAATTCTGGTCCACTTCTATACTTGGAATGGACGTAGAGGGGTTATCAGCAAGTTGGTTTCCTGACTTGGGTTGGTAGGATGAACCGGAGTTAACCAACCTCTGATGTGGAGTCAGGGAAAGTAAAACTGGTTTGATCACACAATCCCTACACATGCAGAGGTAGGAAAGAGCTGAACTCTACTACTTCATCTATCCTATGACACATTTAGACACAAGACAGGATCAAACACTACTCGACACATACTCCTGCTAGTAGCTCTTTAGGGGAGACAACACCAATTTCAATGTGTTAAATAGCCAACACTTTATTATTTCTTTTTATTAAAAATGTTTTGTTTTACTTTCAAATACAAATAACAGTTCTATTTTACAGTAATCATTTTCCTTGTACAGTATTAAAAAATCTGAATCACATACAGTTTATCACATACACCATCATCATTATCACAAACTCCGCGCCCTCTGTTTTGTGAAAGTGAGTTTCTTTTTGAATTGTAATCGCTCTACTTAAAGCAAAGTTAACCAAACTACAATTATGTTTACTAAGAATTTTTAGAATCACATTAAAGTGGAAATTGCTGATGATAAAATTTCACAATTTTTGCTACCTGCTCTTTCTACTTTAAATTTGAAAAATAACCTATAAGATAACTGACCACATGTACATATGGCGACTTGTAATTTGGTAAATAGTGTAAGATCACCAGTGGTAAGCCTAAGTATTTTAGTTAAAAAAAGAACAACTCTTGCAACCTTGACCTTGAAAAAATTCACAACATAAATTAGGTTACAACACAGTTGGAGTGATTCACACCTGCTCAGATAAAAGCAATCAACGCCAATCAAAAACTGGATGTAAATTAGGAATACGATGCAGCATCAGTACAGCACTCACCAACCAGTAGAATAAAACCACCAGCCCGTGACTAATTACAGCAGGAGATTAAAGCAATCACTTGCCTGCTGCTCATTATAGATTTAAAAAACTTGTTTCAATAATTTTCTTACATAACATTGAGACTAAACATAATATTTTTCTCATAAACACTGAGAATAAATAAAAAAAGTGTTCTAAGATTTAAATTAGTGACAATGTCAAAAATATAGTTAAAGACAGTAACAACTTAAAGTGGCCTGTAATACGAAGTTGTTCAATTATTTTCATGAGCAGCCCTAATTATGACAACATAAAAATACAGCATCACAGGTAAATGAATACGTGTATGGTTGGATCTGCTAATCAAGTTAATACCTGTACATTGAAATATTTAAGTCTTCATGAACAAACTAAATCAAGCAGCAAAAAGTAATAATCTTCAGCCTAGAAAAATATTGACATTTTATTTTAAATTTTGTAAAAATGTAAACAAACCAAGTGAAGAATCTATCTCTAGTGTACAAGTGTTTATTCCATAGTTTTCAGCTGCTAGATTTGAACAATGTATAAACACTTTTCTTCTAGAGTTTAGTTATATATACACTATGTAACTATGTATGCAGAAACTAAACTTTGAAAAAAAGAGCAGATAACTCTAACAACTAATAACATGGTATTCAAAACTAAAAACCCTTCCAAAAATTCCTTCAAAATCTGCTTTCAAAAATAAAAAAAGTATGAGCAATCAGTTACCAGCCTTTGACACCTTATTTACAATATCAAAAGAATGTAAATTAAAATCTAAAAGATGATCAGTGAACCTAATTATAATGATTGGCTGTACAAGGACATAGGAATGTTACAAAGAGAATTACCTGCTCATATCAATATTAGCACGCCATCTCTATGTAATTTCATTACAAAAATATTTCAAATACAATCAGGAATATGAAATAGAAAAAAACCTCTGTACAAAAGTATTGCACTTTTTCAGTAACAATTGTCTTAAAAAAATGTGAAGTCAACACAATCATCTGTCTGTTCACAATATACATCCTATAAAACATGATAAGCTTCAATACTTATTGATATGGTATGAACACATGGGAGATGAAGCCATCTTAGTGTTAGATGTACAGACCTCATTCCATACAATAATTCTCTTAGTTTAAATGCCTGTCAATATTTAGAACAGATTTTTAAAATTTGATTTTGTGTAAATATAATGAATAAAATTTAATTACCGGTAGTTTTAACATGGATGCTTAAAAAAAAAATAACATTCTTTAAAAATTCATAAAAAGTAAGGAAATTAAAAAAAAACATTTTTGCATTAGTAGATTTAGTCCACTAATAAAGTATTTCAAGAGCTCAGTACAATCATAAATCTACTTATTTGGTGTATAAGCTGCACACATTTATCACCAACCAGGTGGCGCCTTGACCAACCAGGTGGCGCTTTGACCAACCAGGCGGTGCCTTGACCAACCAGGTGGCGCCTTGACCAACCAGGTGGTGCCTTGACCAACCAGGTGGCACCTTGACCAACCAGGTGGCGCCTTGACCACCAGGTGGTGCCTTGACCAACCAGGTGGCGCCTTGACCAACCAGGTGGCGCCTTGACCAACCAGGTGGTACCTTGACCAACCAGGTGGCGCCTTGACCAACCAGGTGGCGCCTTGACCAACCAGGTGGCGCCTTGACCAACCAGGTGGTATTGTGACCACTAGGTGGCGCCTTGACCAACCAGGTGGTGCCTTGACCAACCAGGTGGCACCTTGACCAACCAGGTGGTGCCTTGACCAACCAGGTGGCGCCTTGACCAACCAGGTGGCGCCTTGACCAACCAGGTGGTACCTTGACCAACCAGGTGGCGCCTTGACCAACCAGGTGGCGCCTTGACCAACCAGGTGGCGCCTTGACCAACCAGGTGGCGCCTTGACCAACCAGGTGGCACCTTGACCAACAAGGTGGCGCCTTGACCAACAAGGTGGTGCCTTGACCAACCAGGTGGTGCCTTGACCAACAGGTGGCGCCTTGACCAACCAGGTGGTATTGTGACCACTAGGTGGCGCCTTCACCAACCAGGTGGCGCCTTGACCAACCAGGTGGCGCCTTGACCAACCAGGTGGCGCCTTGACCAACCAGGTGGCGCCTTGACCAACCAGGTGGCGCCTTGACCAACAAGGTGGTGCCTTGACCAACCAGGTGGTATTGTGACCACTAGGTGGCGCCTTGACCAACCAGGTGGCGCCTTGACCAACCAGGTGGCGCCTTGACCAACCAGGTGGCGCCTTGACCAACCAGGTGGCGCCTTGACCAACCAGGTGGCGCCTTGACCAACCAGGTATCGCCATGATTACCAGGTGGCGTTTGACCAACCAGGTGGTGCCTTGACCAACCAGGTGGCACCATAGACCACTAGGTGGCGCCGTGACCACCAGGTAGAATAGAAAGCAAACTGAAGAAGTTACACAACATTCAAATAGAAAATAAAGGCTCTCATTGCACTATGAGTCATGATATACTCGTACATTTAAATGATATAGCTACAACTTCAACTAGTCAGCAAGGCTCAAGATGTTAAAAATACAGTGTATGAACTCATGCCTGATAGCAAAAAAAAAACATTTAAATAAATTAGCTGGATGGTACCCGCTGTTGGACTGTCAGATAATTAAGTCAGGTGATGACTGTCAGATAATTAAGTCAGGTGATGACTGTCAGATAAATAAGTCAGGTGATGACTGTCAGATGATCATCAGTTAAGAACAGGGTTTCTTTTAGACATTTTTCTCAGGAAAAGGGGGTGGTTGGACGGACACAGGTTAAAATATATATTTTTTATATATTTTATATATTTTTTCTATGTAGTCCCAGGAGAAATTTCAGAAAGATGCCTGAAAGAAACACTTGTCTAGAATGTTGGATTGTCAAATGAATAAGTCAAGAATGTTGGACCATCCTGATTTGGACTCAAAAAGAAAAACAATATATTTAAAACAACAGTCATAATGGTTGACATGAAATTTGATACATACATTTTGAAAGTAGTTTCATAACAATCCATAACAAAGATTTGAAGGCTGGCTTTGGGGCCTCTGTCCCACAAACTACTCATGGAATGGCACAGTAGTATAAACTTCCACACAGAGTAGTTCTATAGAGTTGTCATGAACAATTTCAACTCAACAGCTCAAAGCTGAGGTCAAAAGATGGAACAATCAATGCTCTAGTTAAAAAAAATGAAAATCAGTGGACAAACACAACAGAAGTTGTGTTTACTTTAGTGTTTATTAACACAAAGTTGTTCAAAAATGGAAAGTGCTGATAAATTCATCAATTTTAACAATCTGGGTTTTAATGTGAAATAGTGCCCTTTCACAGACTATTAAAAAAATTTAATATATTTAAAAAATCAGGTGCATATTTTATTTTAATTATAAAAAAACAAACAAATAAAACCAAACAGTTAAGTTTGGTGCTTTTTTTCTTTTGGCACAAAAATATAAAAAGCAAAGTAGAAAACAATCTGAAATTGTTTTTTTAAATCCAGTGTGAGTTATGTCCCTGCCATCTGTAGTATCCATTGTTACTGTTTGCCTAATTTGTAGGATAGGAATTGGAAAAAGCGCATACAAACAAAATGTTTTTGATTTGCTTGATGCACTCACTACATTGATCAATAAATTATATTTTAAGTGCTATATAAGATTGTCCTATGAAATTTAAAATAAAAAAACTTTTTTAGCTGAATTAATTGTTATTTTGATTTCATCACAGATTTCAATGTGGCTAAAAATTTAATTTCATTCAATGATAGTAGGCCTATTACACAAATAAATTGCTGTAGCTCTTGTTGATAATTCTTACAGAATCGAGCTGATACAGAGGGTTTATGAAAACAATATATAGTTTTTTTAAACTCTTCATCTTTGGAACTTGAGTATTGTTAGAAAATTTGGACGGTTTATGAATGACGATTGTGGGAAATGTGTTCAAGATAATTTTATGTACTGGTGAAATTTTCGACTATATCTGACTTCAGCTACATACTCAGCAGTGAATCTTCACAATCTGTTATACCAAAGAAATTCATTTATAATATGCAGCAAAGTAAATTAGAATCCAGGGGAGCTAGTTGTTGATACATTACTCTGATTAGAACTAGACACTGAAGATCTTTTGATTTGCCACTGAATCAAGTCACTGTATTTCATCACTTTGTTACGTCAGTATAGAATCAAATAAAAAAAATCATCTAGATCAGGGGTCTCCAAACTACGGCCCGCGGGCCGGATGCGGCCCACGATGTCCTCTCAATCCGGCCCGCGGAGATCTTTTTGTCCACGGAAAAAACGTTTGTTGGTGATGGCTGAGGAACTTTGTCCAGAAAAATCAAAGACATGCCTGGAAGAAACTGGCCCTCGAAGTGAAATTTGATAGTTAATGCGGCCCTCGAACTGAAAAGTTTGGAGACCCCTGATCTAGATCATCAATTATTTTTACAACAAAACTAAAGATAAGGCTAAAAATGTAATGCTATTCTTAGTTGCTGTATGTGTCCATAAAGTTTTTATGTAGTGGCTTAAACCTTTTTTCTGTGCAGAGTTAGTAGTTGTTGGTCCCATTTATGTTGTATTCATAAAAATTGTGATAGCTATTATGTTAGGTTAGTAATAAGTACAGATCAATTTTATTCACTGAGTTATCACAGGTCCTTACTGAGCTGGTGCTATGTGCAAACTAGGCACACCACTTGTGTACGCAGGATTCTGGAATATTACAGCTTCCAGTATAGGGCAGCCTCCTGATATAGAGCAGATTCCTGATATAGGGCAGCTTTTCCTGATATAGGGCAGCTCTTCCTGATATAGGGCAGCTTCCTGATACAGGGCAGCTTTTCCTGATATAGGGCAGCTCTTCCTGATATACGGCAGATTCCTGATATAAGACAGCTCCCTGATATAGGGCAGCTTTTCCTGATATAGGGCAGATTCCTTATATAGGGTGGCTTCCAGGTGCACCATTGATCATGATGTGTGTTGTTACTTTGTTTGAGTCACCCGACCATGGTACATAAACACAACTGTTGGTGAAGTGTGCTGTAATGGGTGTCACACAAGACCACAATCAACAATCAGAGTTTCAGTTGGTCCACAAGTCTCAACATCAGCACACAGAAGTTTGAATTTATCAAACAACCTGTTGGACTATTCCACTTTCATGCACGTGGCTGACAATCACTTGTTGAGCTTGAAGCTGAGTTTGGAGATTTTCTTGGAGATTCTGAATGGCCCTGACCTTTCAGGGGGTGTGGGAGACAGGTTGGGGGACGGTGCTGTTGCCTTGGCGACGACAGCCGTGTTGTTGACTTGAGATGGGAAGCTGATGGAGCGGTGGAAGCTCTCTGAAAGATAGGTCAAAGGTTAGATGGATCTCTGAAAGATAGGTCAAAGATTAGACAAAGGTTAGATAGCTCTCTGAAAGATAGGACAAAGGTTAGACAAAGGTTAGATAGCTCTCTGAAAGATGGGTCAAAGGTTAGATAGCTCTGAAAGATAGGTCAAAGGTTAGACAAAGGTTAGATAGCTCTCTGAAAGATAGGACAAAGGTTAGACAAAGGTTAGATAGCTCTCTGAAAGATGGGTCAAAGGTTAGATAGCTCTCTGAAAGATGGGTCAAAGGTTAGATAGCTCTCTGAAAGATAGGACAAAGGTTAGACAAAGGTTAGATAGCTCTCTGAAAGATGGGTCAAAGGTTAGATAGCTCTCTGAAAGATGGGTCAAAGGTTAGATAGCTCTCTGAAAGATAGGTCAAAGGTTAGACAAAGGTTAGATAGCTCTCTGAAAGATAGGACAAAGGTTAGACAAAGGTTAGATAGCTCTCTGAAAGATGGGTCAAAGGTTAGATAGCTCTGAAAGATAGGTCAAAGGTTAGACAAAGGTTAGATAGCTCTCTGAAAGATAGGACAAAGGTTAGATAGCTCTCTGAAAGATGGGTCAAAGGTTAGATAGCTCTCTGAAAGATAGGTCAAAGGTTAGATAGCTCTCTGAAAGATAGGTCAAAGGTTAGACAAAGGTTAGATAGCTCTCTGAAAGATAGGACAAAGGTTAGATAGCTCTCTGAAAGATGGGTCAAAGGTTAGATAGCTCTCTGAAAGATAGGTCAAAGGTTAGATAGCTCTCTGAAAGATGGGTCAAAGGTTAGATAGCTCTCTGAAAGATAGGTCAAAGGTTAGACAAAGGTTAGATAGCTATCTGAAAGATAGGACAAAGGTTAGATAGCTCTCTGAAAGATGGGTCAAAGGTTAGATAGCTCTCTGAAAGATGGGTCAAAGGTTAGATAGCTCTCTGAAAGATAGGTCAAAGGTTAGACAAAGGTTAGATAGCTCTCTGAAAGATAGGGCAAAGGTTAGATAGCTCTCTGAAAGATGGGTCAAAGGTTAGATAGCTCTCTGAAAGATAGGTCAAAGGTTAGATAGCTCTCTGAAAGATGGGTCAAAGGTTAGATAGCTCTCTGAAAGATAGGTCAAAGGTTAGACAAAGGTTAGATAGCTCTCTGAAAGATAGGACAAAGGTTAGATAGCTCTCTGAAAGATGGGATAGATAGCTCTCTGAAAGATGGGTCAAAGGTTAGATAGCTCTCTGAAAGATAGGACAAAGGTTAGATAGCTCTCTGAAAGATGGGTCAAAGGTTAGATAGCTCTCTGAAAGATAGGACAAAGGTTAGATAGCTCTCTGAAAGATAGGTCAAAGGTTAGACAAAGGTTAGATAGCTCTCTGAAAGATGGGATAGATAGCTCTCTGAAAGATGGGTCAAAGGTTAGATAGCTCTCTGAAAGATAGGACAAAGGTTAGATAGCTCTCTGAAAGATGGGTCAAAGGTTAGATAGCTCTCTGAAAGATAGGACAAAGGTTAGATAGCTCTCTGAAAGATGGGATAGATAGCTCTCTGAAAGATGGGTCAAAGGTTAGATAGCTCTCTGAAAGATAGGACAATGGTTAGATAGCTCTCTGAAAGATGGGTCAAAGGTTAGATAGCTCTCTGAAAGATAGGACAAAGGTTAGATAGCTCTCTGAAAGATAGGTCAAAGGTTAGACAAAGGTTAGATAGCTCTCTGAAAGATGGGTCAAAGGTTAGACAAAGGTTAGATAGCTCTCTGAAAGATGGGTCAAAGGTTAGATAGCTCTCTGAAAGATGGGTCAAAGGTTAGATAGCTCTCTGAAAGATAGGTCAAAGGTTAGACAAAGGTTAGATAGCTCTCTGAAAGATAGGTCAAAGGTTAGACAAAGGTTAGATAGCTCTCTGAAAGATAGGACAAAGATAAGATAGCTCTCTGAAAGATAGGACAAAGGTTAGATAGCTCTCTGAAAGATAGGTCAAAGGTTAGATAGCTCTCTGAAAGATAGGACAAAGGTTAGATAGCTCTCTGAAAGATGGGTCAAAGGTTAGATAGCTCTCTGAAAGATGGGTCAAAGGTTAGATAGCTCTCTGAAAGATAGGACAAAGGTTAGATAGCTCTCTGAAAGATGGGTCAAAGGTTAGATAGCTCTCTGAAAGATGGGTCAAAGGTTAGATAGCTCTCTGAAAGATAGGAAAAAGGTTAGATAGCTCTCTGAAAGATGGGTCAAAGGTTAGATAGCTCTCTGAAAGATGGGTCAAAGGTTAGATAGCTCTCTGAAAGATAGGTCAAAGGTTAGACAAAGGTTAGATAGCTCTCTGAAAGATGGGATAGATAGCTCTCTGAAAGATGGGTCAAAGGTTAGATAGCTCTCTGAAAGATAGGACAAAGGTTAGATAGCTCTCTGAAAGATGGGTCAAAGGTTAGATAGCTCTATGAAAGATAGGTCAAAGGTTAGATAGCTCTCTGAAAGATGGGTCAAAGGTTAGATAGCTCTCTGAAAGATAGGTCAAAGTTTAGATAGCTCTCTGAAAGATAGGTCAAAGGTTAGATAGCTCTCTGAAAGATGGGTCAAAGGTTAGATAGCTCTCTGAAAGATAGGTCAAAGGTTAGATAGCTCTCTGAAAGATAGGTCAAAGGTTAGATAGCTCTCTGAAAGATGGGTCAAAGGTTAGATAGCTCTCTGAAAGATAGGTCAAAGGTTAGATAGCTCTCTGAAAGATGGGTCAAAGGTTAGATAGCTCTCTGAAAGATAGGTCAAAGGTTAGACAAAGGTTAGATAGCTCTCTGAAAGGTTAGACAAAGGTTAGATAGCTCTCTGAAAGATTGGACATCATGCCAATAGTGAACTGGCATAATGCACAGATTTTATTTAAAGCTATTGAAAATACTTCACACTTTATTTAAAGAAATAGATCTTGATAAGCCTAGCTATTAGGAATATTGCACTTGATTAACAAAAAGCATGGTAAAAAATTGACAGATGGTAAATAGATGTGTGTTAGTGTACCTGGAGGCGGGTATGCAAGGAGTTTTTCCCCCTGAGTTGGGTTGCGTGAAAGTCTTTTTGATCCAAACCTTTTTGAGAAGTTGCTGCCTTTAGACAGGGATCCTTTGCTAAAACGTTTTTTATCCTAGAATGAAAAAATAACATTTTGTCATAAAGTCATATGTCATAAAGTCATTTATCTCATTTTATTTATGACAAGATGACACCATATTTTTTAAAGACTAGTGTAATTCTTTTACTGTGAGCACAATAAATATGTCTAAAAACCTTTACTCAGGAGCTAGATGACCATTGTAGAAAGGTATCAGAAGACTTACAAATGACCATTTAGGACTGCTACCAATAGAATTATGAATGACCAATATAGATTGGTACATATACCAAAAGACTAGGACATATCTAGAAAACTCAAGTCAACTAAACTGATCTTTCCAAATCTACGGTACCCACCTCATCCTCTACATTACCCACCTCATCCTGTATAGTACCCACCTCATCCTCTACAGTACCCACCTCATCCTCTACAGTACCTACCTCATCCTCTACAGTACCCACCTCATCCTCTACAGTACCCACCTCATCCTCTACAGTACCTACCTCATCCTCTACAGTACCCACCTCATCCTCTACAGTACCCACCTCATCCTCTACAGTACCTACCTCATCCTCTACAGTACCCACCTCATCCTCTACAGTACCCACCTCATCCTCTACAGTACCTACCTCATCCTCTACAGTACCCACCTCATCCTCTACAGTACCCACCTCATCCTCTACAGTACCCACCTCATCCTCTACAGTACCCACCTCATCCTCTACAGTACCCACCTCATCCTCTACGGTACCCACCTCATCCTCTACAGTACCCACCTCATCCTCTACAGTACCCACCTCATCCTCTACAGTACCCACCTCATCCTCCAGACTGACTTCCTCCCTGCTCATGAGGACAAACCTCCCTGCAGTTTTCCACTCATTCTGAGCCTGGTAGACATTCTCATCATCCGCCAGTATCCTAGAGTTATCCCCCTTCTCACTGCCAGATTTCTTGGAAGAACTAGCCTGGAATGGTTCTGCCTGGTTGGTCACCTCCTCTAGCAGTACAAAATCACGAGGATCTTCAGTGTTGGCTCGATGGGCTTTCTTCATTGCCTGCGAACATAGTTAAAAAATTTTTTCCTGTTGTTGCAACATAGTTACATTTTTTTTCTGTTGTTGTTAGTAATGGCTGGAATATTACCTTTTTTACTTTCTTGTATACAGAATGTAGAGGAAGTATAGTAATTGTGCAGGATAATTATCTATTTTGAAAGTTTTCCCCATTTTACACCATCGTATACAAAATATAATGAAGGTATTTTCTGACTAGAACACATACTAGACCTACTAGTTATTTACTGATGCTACAAAGTGAACAATAAAAGAATCAGAAATAGAAGAAGCTAATTGCTTTCTCTAACAACATTTCAGTTGGTTCTATGCAGGTGAGTGAGGGTCTGGTATGAGGGTGTTCTTTAAAGCAACTACCAGTTATTCTTTAGATAACAATATCAGGTGCTAAATATATTAATATATTAGGCAACAATACAATAATAATTTTAATTTATTGCAGTACAATCATATTAAAATCTGCCTTGGAACATAGGGTAATTAAACCTTTATCATGTCTAGACAAAAGGTATTAAATATAGCTAATAGTTTCCTATTGGTAGTAAAGTCAAATGATAAATTAAAAAAATTAAAGAGGTAAAAAGAATAGACAAACATTCATTTAAGAGATTTAAATTTTATGATTAATAAAATAATAAACAGTGATTCACAATTTTTAGTTGGCTACTGATGAATATTCTGTATTTTTATTGGCTTTTGGGAACAAAGTTTTTTTTTGTCTCCCTTAGTTATCTTGAATTTGTATGTAATACAAATTAATTTCCTTCTTTTTCTTTGTTTTCAATGGACACAAATGAGAATAGTCTTCATAAGTATTCCAAAGGCCTATTGAATATTTTAAAATCATGTATGATGTTATTAAAATAAATATGTTATACAAATCTGACTGTTTGATTTTTGTAGGACTCTGCTAAAGATTGGATGTAATTGATGTTTCTAGTATTTTCAGTAACTAAACAAAATAAAAAAAAAGCCAAAAAACAATTCAATTGTTTCCATTCATAACATAAATTGAAAATAAAAATGGCTAAACTTAAATAAATTTATCAGCCATTTTTTGAGTACTGGGAGTGTTTTTATGAAGTGGAGTTTTCCGAATATCAATCCCAGAGTTCCTGTACAGCCAATCAATGTCTTAAGGAAGTGAATCTACGGATTATAACTTAGGCTTGATGAAAATAAATAGAAATGTAGCCTCAAACTCATACAATTATTTTAAAGTTCTCCGGATTTGTAACTTCTAGATCTATATTATTTTCAGGCTCAAGTGTTAATTTTTCTTATTTTTGATTCACACCCCCCCCCCCCCTTCCCCCCCAAAAAAAACAACAGTTTTTTTTAATCCTTGTCAATAATTATGATCGAAAGATTCTCATCAACTTGCTTATGTATATTGCAATAAGGGAAGGGATTTCCCCAACAAATGTATTACGTGTCAACATGTTATGTGTCTAATGTGCTGTTTACTCCGATTTCAGCCTGTTTTTCTTTTTGGATTTGCTTCCACAGCCTTTGCCCCACCAAGAACAAACTACAAGAAAGCAGTTTTTGATTTTGGAGTTGTCTTTCCCTAGATTGGTTGCTGTCCTCAACTATTGAACCTTATCTGCCCAGAGGTTAGAACTCAGGGCTTTTCAGTTTAGCAACCAAGAGCTTTACCGCCAGACCACACCGACCCCAGAAATTACTGTTAAGTTTTAAACAATTCTCTTTTTCTACACTGCATCATACAACATTTATTAAACAGTACATTATTATACTGATTATTGAATAATAATGTTGGGGTCGGCGTGGTCGAGTCGGTAAAGCTCATGGTTGCTAAACCGAAAAGTCTCGAGTTCGAACCCTCGGGCAGATGAGGCTCGTCAGCTGGAGACAGCCACTCTTCTTCGAGGAGCGACAACTCCAAAATCAAGCAACTACTGCCTTGTAGTTTGTTCTTGGTTGGACAAAGGCTATGGAAGCAAATCCAAAAAGAAAAACAGGCTGAAATCGGAGTCAATGGCCTCAATGGCACATAACCAGTTGACACATAACGCTTAATTGTGTTGGAGGCGTGGTTGAGTCGGCAAAAAGCTCATGGTCAATAAATTCGAAAAAAGTCTCAAGTTCAAACCCACTGGCAGATAAATGATAAATCTTGATCCCCTTCAACACTAAAAATTAAGAAAGAAGAAGAAGAAGAATAATGTTATTTATTTCTATATTTATTTAATCAACAAAAATGTGTTAATTCATTAGATGTGTACGGTGCCACAAAAATGGGATTTTTAAACTGTCCAACTAGGAGAGTATTTATATTGTGGAGGATTTTTGTGTAGCAAATAGATGTTTGATTAAAACTTTTAAAGAGTTTAAACTTATTCTTCTGTGGAAGGTTGTGTCCTGGTCTATTCTAGTGTAGACTTATCTCAAGTTGTGCTAGTGAAAGTTTGTATTGTGAGAACTCACTTGTGTGATGATATCCTGTGTAGACTGATCTAAGTGATAGTGAAAGTTTGTATTGTGAGGACTCACTTGTGTGATGATATCCTGTGTAGACTGATCTAAGTGATAGTGAAAGTTTGTATTGTGAGAACTCACTTGTGTGATGATATCCTGAGCTGTGCTGGTCACTGGTGCCTTAAAGATTGTGTATGGCTGGTCTGGTGAGACGTTGAACACACAGACAAGAAACATGTGCTCCTCCCCCTCCCAGTCCGCAGTGCTGGACTCTTCCATTTGACGCTGCCAAGAAAATTAATCTTTGTAAAACTAAAAATAATTCTTCCAATTTATGCTGTTAAGAAAATTAAACTTACTAAAACTAATAACAATTCTTCCACTTTATGCTGCCAAGAAAATTAACCTTTGTATAACTTAGAACTATTTATCCATTGAACACTGTCAAGGTAATTAAACCTTATGAAACTGAAAACTTACAAAATAAATAAATATTACACATAAGATAGATCTAAAATAAAAAAACACAAAATAGAAGTAAATAAATGAGTATATTAATCAGTTAACTGTTGCTATTTAATGCTGACCTTCTGTTCTTTTAGCATAGTGGTCATCCAGGCTCTACTACTGGGGTCCTGTGATTACAAGAACAATTTATTTTAAAACACATCAGGGAACACATTAGTAAAGCCAAATACTTGATGAGAGAAAACTGAGAAAAAAATCTCCTTGTCTAAACCTAAGCACTAATTCAGTTCCTAATACTAGCCTTAATCCCAACTTATGTTTTATATGATAGATAGTCTATTTGACTATTTATAAAATCCTGACATAAAACACATCATTATTACCACCCATCAACTCCTGACATGGAACATCACACAGACCACCCATCAAATACTGACATGGAACATCACACAGGCCACCCACCAAATCCTGACAACTTACATCACACAGGCCACCCACCAAATCCTGACAACTTACATCACACAGACCACCCACCAAATCCTGACATGTAACACCACACAGATCACCCACCAAATCCTGACAACTTACATCACACAGACCACCCACCAAATCCTGACATGGAACATCACACAGACCACCCACCAAATCCTGACAACTTACATCACACAGACCACCCACCAAATCCTGACATGTAACACCACACAGACCACCCACCAAATCCTGACATGTAACACCACACAGATCACCCACCAAATCCTGACAACTTACATCACACAGACCACCCATCAAATACTGACAACTCACATCACACAGGCCACCCACCAAATCCTGACAACTTACATCACTGAGTTTCCTAAGAATAAACTTCCCCGCCCCTTTCCACTTGTTTTGAGCCGCCAGAACCCTCTCGGCCACGTCCAGAATTCTCTGGTTGCTGGCCTTCTCCTGGTCTTTCTTCTCCCAGCCACTCTGGACATCCTCCACCAAGACATAGTCCGCAAACTTTTCATCCAGTCGACCCACTTTAGTCAGCGCCTGGAGTCATGGTACAAAAACATTTTGTGTCAAGATAAATGTTTTAAATTTCTTCCAAATAGTTCAAAGACAATGTCTTCTGAATAGTAGGCTACAAACACATTATCTTCTGAAGAGTAGGCTAAAAAGACATTATCTTCTGAATAGTAGGCTATAAAGACATTATCTTCTGAATAGTAGGCTAAAAAGACATTATCTTCTGAATAGTACGCTAAAAAGACATTATCTTCTGAATAGTAGGCTAAAAAGACATTATCTTCTGAATAGTAGGCTAAAAAGACATTATCTTCTGATTAGTAGGCTACAAAGACAATATCTTCTGAATAGTAGGCTATAAAGACTATATTATCTGAATACTACAAAATCTATGATATTCCAGCTAAAAAACAGTAATTATAAATAGGATGTAAAAAATATTCAGCTGATGTACTAATTCAACTAATTGATAAAGTGCTGGTAAAAGACGATTTATCAAAGTTTATCTACAGCTCACCTGTGCTATGGTGTCTGCCACAGTGGAGTCCTGTGTGACCTTGAGAATAATGTATTCATCAGGGGCAGTAACTCCAAACACACTAATGAAAAACATCCTACGCTTCAGCTTGGTCCCCGTGGTTGTAAGAGCCTGTAGAGGGACATTTTTTTATTCAAAAATATAAAGAAATTTCAGGTGCTGATATTTAAAAAATATCAGGTACTAATATAAAAAATATCAATTACTGATGTAAACTTCTTTTTTTGGACACAAAAAGCTGCCAAATGTTACATTTGGCAAAATTTAAATGTGATACATTCAATATAATGAAAAATAAATTAACAAAATCTGGAAAGAATCTTCAAAGCACTGCTTGCAAATTACATTTTTTCTTAAAAATACTTAAAAATGTGTATATCATCGATAGAAATGATCAGTAATTTAACATGTTGATGCAACCCACTAAATTATCCAATCAAATCCTGCTCACCTCTTTAGAATCTTGTTTACTGGCGTCCGAGAGTTCCCTGACCTTTGAGAAGATGGACATACGTTTGAACGAGGAGACGGTCAGACCAAAGTCTGATCCATTCCTAGTCTCCAGTAGTTCCTCTTCGTGCTTGCTGTACACAAACAAGGTGGACAACTCCTGCGGCTGACCGGAGCCGTTCCGGAGCCGCACATGTCTGTAGCCAGGTCTCAGGCATTTCAAGGGGATAACACGCTGCGTGACCATGTGACTTGTATTGGCGTCGATCACAACAAATCTTATAAAGGCAAGGTCCGCAAATAATACCTGATGTAAAATATTACAAATATATTAGCATCAATCACAATAAATCTTATAAAGGCAGGGTCCGCAAATAATACCTGATGTAAAATATTTAAAATATATTAGCATCAATCACAACAAATTATAATGGCAGGGTCCGCAAATAATATATGACACAAATGGTGAGAAAAAAATAATTTCATAATTATTAAACTTAACCAAAGTTGAAGTATAGTTCTATAGAAAAAAACTTCAACAAGGGTTTTATAGTATTGAAAACAAAAATCCAACTCTTTCTTACTTGAAATGTGAAGATATCATTCCATATAGGGTTAAGGGCATTTTTAGGCACTACTTTAGTTTTCTGTTTGGCACAATCCACAGGAATACCAATCACCTCCACTTCCACTTGTACGTTGGTGGAGTAATGTTGACACACATACTGGCCTGAGATGATCTGAATTAACATACAGACATAATTAGTCTATTATCATGGCAAACAGGAACGTAATAGCCTTCATCAGTCCCTTATCACAGCTAAATATCAACAAACACATGAGTAGACAGATGTAAAGAAACACACATTATGTGTTATGTATAAACAAAATCTTAATCTTAAATTGAAAAAAAAAATACATTAAAAAAATAAATTTAAAACTCTGAAATGTGATACATAATACTGTGTTTGAATAAATATAATAGTCTGAAAAATGAACATAAAACTAAATCTGTAAGCAAGAAATATAGGCCTAATTATGAAAATAGAAAACAAACACAAATTCACAAAAAAGACAAAACTAAAACAATTTATTCTGTAAAAAATACCAAAAAAAAAAAACAACCAGTTACCTGTAGTGTAAGGATGGTGGTGTGCAAGCCATCAAATTCTTTATCCCAAGGATTAAAGCGGTTGTACATGACATGGGATTTATCCCACATGACAGACGGTTTCAGTATGTAGCCACTGCGGCCATTTTGTTCAAACATGGCTGTGTTCAAAGACATGGCTACATCTGGAGATTTAATTTTAATTCTTTAATATTACAAGAACACACAAAGACATGCTAGATCTAGAAAAAGTAAAAAAAAAAAACAACCTTTAAGACAGCCCACCAACTAAATAAGCCTATGACATTCATTTAAAAAAATATAACAGTCACCTTCTGTTTGATAGTTCAAGGCCACCATCTGAATCCCAAAAGCCCAGAAAATGACAGGGTTAAAATTGGAAGAATCAATTCTCATCCCTGCTGGGTAGGTTCTCATCAGCTGTCTCTCTGTGTGGGTACGGCTGGTTAAGGCCTAAAATAACTTTATATATGGTTACAGTTTTAAAGCTTCAAATAACTTTATAGGGCTATACGACTAAAGTTTTAAGGCCTCAAATAACTTTATATTGGTCTACAGTTTTAAAGCCTCAAATAACTTTATATACATCTATAATTTAAAGTTCTCACATAACTTTATATGGTCTAAAATTTATATGGTCTATAATTTAAAGGCTTCAAATAAATTCATATCCGTCAATAATTTAAAACCTGAATTGAGTAGCTATGAAGGATGTTATTGGCAACCTACAGTAAGAAAGAGGCCTACATACTTTTATACTTTTGTACTCATTCTTAAGCTAGACACACCCATAGTGATTCTTAAAATCCACATTTAACACTTTCCATAATACTAAATGCTAAATTGTCATCAGAAAAATGTCTACACTAAGATAAAAACTCACCATGGACATCTAAAATATGGACCTTTAAATAACTTAATATAAACATAATCTGAACATAACTACAGCATGGAATGTATTACTTGATATCAACATAAGATTCAGGGTTGGTTAGAGGGTTATGGTCAGGATTAGGGCCAAAGTTTGGATTGTGATAACAGCAAAAAATAGTCAAAAGTCAGCTAGTAAAGTTACCCTATTACACCTGATGGTCCATGGGGTATATGAAGTAGAGTTCACCTGTCTGTGACTTCTGCATTGTCAGCACTATGCCCAGTTGCCTTTATTTACCCTAACATAAGTTAGGTACCTATCACCTGGGTGAATTCAGGGACATTCTACCTGAACCTGAATTTGAACTTGAGACTTTTGGGTTAGCAGTCTAGAACTCTACACTGTCCCATAAGATCCCAAATACAACTGAGTGAGAGCGTTGTGTAAGGATATCAAACAGTGGCCAGTGGTCTAGCATTCTACCTTATGCCACATTGTCCAATAAAACCCAGCTAAGATCCCAAATAAAACTGAGTAAGAGCGTTGTGTAAGGATATCAAACAGTGGCCAGTAGTCTAGCACTCTACCCTAGTCCCTGCTGTCCAATAAAACCCAGCTAAGATCCCAAATAAAACTGAGTAAGAGCGTTGTGTAAGGATATCAAACAGTGGCCAGGGGACTCCTGCGACACAGTTGCTTGGCTTTGTTCTCATTGAGGGATGACACCAGATAACAGGAGGGGACTTCACAGCGTTTAAACTTGGCTCCGGTCACTTGCAGGCTACTTTCTGGCTTGTCTGGAACAAAAGTTCAGGGGTCAAGAGGTCACACAAGAGGTCACAAAATAAAGTGGTGTTTTACTTGCTACTCAAATAAAAGTTTAGGGGTTATAAGTTCAAGTAAAGTTATGTCTGTTGTTAAATTATACTTCTGTAGCTTTGTTTAGATTTTATCAATCTTAATCTATAACTTGAATATTTTAAATTCTATTTTGGCTTTACACAAATATTGTCTTTCTTGATTGTTCATTTTGGGTTTATAATTTGCCTGGATTAAACTGAACTACAACTATAAAAAATGAATGTCTAACAACTTTTATTACTGTTATTTAGCAATCAAATTTACCAAGGACATGCTGAAGTAGAACATGCATACTAAATAAATAATTTTTTGAAGAATTTAGTTGCAATGTAAAGTAAATAAATGTTGTTTAAAGGAATGTAACAGCAATTCTTTATTCTAAAATCTAAAAAAAAATCTAAAAATGTCAGAAAATCCAAGAACTGCACTAAAATTGTTTACAACAGTGTAAAAGAGAGAGAGCTGCTATAGGATTGTTTATTTCAAGTGTTTACAGTACCTGCACCACCTGGTAGGAGAGTGGGAGTGCTGGGACTGGTTCCCATGCTGGCTGTTAGAATACTTCTCCGAGAGGGGACTTTTTTTTGTTTCAAAGATGTGTTGGGACTCATACTAAGCCCTGTTCAATTTTGTAAAAATTAGTTACATATAAACATTAATTAAATTTGACATTAATTTTGAAAATTGTTCTGGCCGATGTTAGTGTGGTAAGGTTTTATGAACTTGTTCAGTGGGCTGCTCTTATAACAAGTGACAAAGTGTAAAGAAACCAACCTGCCTGTGTATGTGAGTGCATGACTGCATGTGTATATAGTGTATGTATGTATGTAGGATATATATGTGTGTGTCTGTATGTGCTGTCTTGGAGCTTGAATGTATGTGTAATATAGTGTATGTATGTAGGCCATTTATCTTGGAGCTTGTATGCATATGTATATAGCATATGTATGTAGGCTATGTATCTTGGAGCTTGAATGTATGTATATATAGTGTATGTACGTAGGCTATGTGTGCGTGTGTCTGTGTTATTACCTCTGAATTTGACAGCATGTGTATACACAACAAGATCAGACAACTCTTTGGCTATTTGACTGGCCTTTTTTGTTTTCACTTTCGGCTGGACCTTGAGAAAAAAAAATCATATATTTAGCCAAAACAAGTGTACATTCTTGTAAATTCTACTAGACATTAGTTTCTGTAACATTTGTTTTTAATAGAAAAAAAGATGAGTTCAGTATGAAAAAGAAAACATAAATTTTAAAAAAACTAAAACATTAAGAATTTCCTTTCTGAAACAAAATCCTAGCTAATGTGTCGCTGTTGATAGTGGATTGAATTAGTGAAAGAAAGAACGATAATTCAATATTTTGTACTTTCAGGTTTGATATCTCCTCATCAAAGTGCCAGTCTAGCTCAGGGTGGCTTTTAGGTCGAGAAGTTTTACTGCCAAAGTTATCATTGGGATATCTATAACAAAAATAATTAGTTCAAATCATTGGGATATCTATAACAAAAATAATTAGTTCAAATCATTGGGATATCTATAACAAAAATAATTATTTCAAATAATTGGGATATCTGTATCAAAAATAATTATTTCAAATCATTGGGATATCTATAACAAAAATAATTATTTCAAATAATTGGGATATCTGTATCAAAAATAATTATTTCAAATCATTCAAGAAAAAATACTCATTTTTAAATACATTATCATAGAGCTGTCTTTACTTGAGGTCTTACATTTCAGAATTTTGTAGACTGCTTTAAGCTTTTTAAAAACATGCAAAATGTTTTGCTGATAATTGTTTCGTTGATAATTAATTAATTAAATTATTTTAGGGTTAATTAACAAAGTCAAACATCATCAACACCAAAACATGCGTGAGAAAAACAAGCAGAGTTTGGTAAACATTTCAATTTAATTATAAACACTTCATGTCCAACTCTATACATCAACTGTTTGTTGTTCTAATTTAGAAACATTACAGACAAAAACAGTCGTGTAAACATCTGCTAACTTAGTTGTGCTTCTATTGAATAAATGAATGAAGACAATGTAAAGTTGAGACATGGACCAGATGCATTGCTTGACTTGACCAGGCTTATGTTCTGGCTCCTTAAAGTCCACGACAGCCTTAGTTACAGCAGTGGCAGAGTGCGCCACAGAAATCAATATCTAGAATCTTGTTTCACATGGCAGGCATTACAGGGAGACTGGCCAAGCAACTGGCCTTAGGAGGAAAATGTGCTTTACTCAAGTATACCAAACACCACCTTTACTCAATGACACCAGACACCATCTTTACTCAATGACACCTGACACCACCTTTACTCAAGTATAACAGACACCACCTTTACTCAATGACACCAGACACCATCTTTACTCAATGACACCTGACACCACCTTTACTCAACCACACCAAACCCCAGCTTTACTCAATGACACCAGACATGACCTTTACTCAATGACACCTGACACCACCTTTACTCAACCACACCAAACCCCAGCTTTACTCAATGACACCAGACATGACCTTTACTCAATGACACCAGACACCACCTTTACTCAAATGACACCAGACACCACCTTTACTCAATGACACCAGATGCCACCTTTACTCAATGACACTAGACACCACCTTTACTCAATGACACTAGACACCAAAACAGTGATTAAGATTAAAGATTATACTTTTAAATCTACTTAAAATGATATGCTGATCATAGCATTAAATGATTTCATTACATTATGAGTTTGTCCTACAGTACCTTTAAATGACATTACATAAATTAGCTGACAATAGTTAAATTTGGAAAATTATATAAGATTTATTAAGAAGTCAGAAAAAAAATGAGGTTTAAAATTTGAAGTAATAAATTATTTTAAAACTTCATAAAGCGTATAGGAACAAAATTCACATGTATTACTTTGGCCAGCCCTGTTTTTCAGGATTTCACATAACTTGATTCTAGGGATTTGATCTGTCTATGGTCTACACTGTTCTTGGGTTTCTTTAGGGATTTGAATTGTGTGTGGATAATACAAATTTTTTAGATTTCCTCTAGTTTTAATTTCGGGGATTTCAATGGTGTAAAAAGTCAACATGAAAATTAAAAAAAAAAAGGTGTCTAAGATCATTTTGAAAATACAAATGATTTTTAATAACACTTTTACAAACATATAACAACACTACAACATGAATTTGTGAATTATAAAGATATCAAATATTAAAATAAAAAACAAGATAGAAATAAAAGTAAAGAAAAAGATAACTGACACCATGAAAAGTTTATCTGACCTGGCCCGTAGCTCCTCCATAGAGTCAGTACGTGACCGGGGCTGGTCACCCTTGGTCTTGTCCTCGTGTTCAGGGGTTGGACTGTCCTGGCTGTCCACTGACCTCCGTAACTCTTTGACAGCTAGAGAACAATGAGAAATTTTACTACTCAATTTCCTTAACAAAATATACAGCTGAATTTACTAAAGTCTTTGATAACTAGAGAAGATTGATCAACTCTTTCAATTTTTGTAAAATAATGGATTATTTTAGCCTTCAGATATACACAAACATAAAGAATTAAAAATCTAATTGGCAATCATTGCCAAAAAGTCTTAAGCTAATCATCAAAAATAAAAATATTCTCACCATCTGTCACATCATCTTCATCCTCATCTTCATCATCATCATCATCAAAATCATTGATAGATGTTGTCTCTGAAGATGGAATGCTGCTTGCTCTGTTCTGTGTGTACACCTAATCAAGAAATATTCAGGGTACACAATTTAAATTCAGTGGATGGCCTACACACATGTTTTCTAGGTTGTCCCATTACAGATTTCAATATGTGTATAAGTGTATAAGTGTGTATGTGTATGTATGTGTGTATGTTGATGTATATGTGTATATACACACACAAAATAAAATGAAAAAAACTTATGTCACTCTGTCAGTTTATGTATAACACTTTGATTTATTATGTTAATAGTTCTATTGTAATCAAATGTTTAGTACTCAAACTTAAACATCAATAATCTGGCATGCTGAATTCTTAGTTAATAAAATTATGTAAAGAAAATGACTCAAGTGGTTTCCTAAAAAGATCCACTTTAGTGGTCAAATGGTTAAACTAGCAGACATTTTTAAAAATGTTAGATCACTTTAATGAAACAAACCTTTTTGGCTGCGGCAAGGCTTTCGTTGTCTTTGAGTTTCTTGTTTTTGATGAGGATTTTGTACTTGAGTTGGTTGGGTGAAGGCAGCTGGGGATCTTCTAGGAAATCTGTGTCGAACAGGAAGTCTGTCACCAGCTTCTCACCAAATACACTCTGGAACCAGAAGCTGGGTGGGTTAGCTGTGGTTTAACTCAACCAGAGGCGTAGCGACCCTACCCGGCGCCCGGGCACAAACTTTCGATTTGCACCCCCTCAAGATTTTAGATTTGCACCACCCTCAACCTTTCAATTTATTTTTCCAACCCATTTTGGCGCCCCCTAAGGTCGGCGCCCGGGGACATGTGTCTCCCCCCCGCCCCCCCCCCCCCTCGCTACGCTACTGGTGAATGTGTTGCACAATGACACCAAATAGGCCTAACAATAATACTACCAAAATGATTAGTGGCAAACTCAATTCCTAGACTGTAGTTAGGCTACACTGTGGCCAGCCCAGCCTGTGGTCATGTGGCCAGCCTAGACAGTGGTCATGCGGTCTGCCTAGACTTAGTGTGTGTACTCACCACAAATATCTGTGCCATCTTCTGCTGCTGGGCTAGTGAGCAATGGTTCTCAATGGATAAAATGATGGGGTATGGTGAGGTGACAAAGGCACTCCTATTAATTGCTTCCACTACTCCCTAGATAACAGAATATATTTCATTCATAACTGCCACATCAACAATCACATTGAAGTACATGCAATTTTAAATAATAATGAATCTAAAATGTTAATTTTACTACTCTTTATTGATGCTAAAACTGAAAACAATGTTAAAATAAACTTTTCTAATTATTTTTTTACATTTAAAAAAAGATAGTGTTTTAAAATTTGAATATCAAGTCATTAAAATTCAGGTCTTACTTTAAATGAGATCTTGGTGGTGAGAGTGTGACCATGGTAAATGATTGGTGACCCATCCTCACCATCCCAGCAGTCCAACTCCACACAACGACAGCCCATCAACAACACCTGACAGCAACATAAAACATGTAGTTTGATTGGTTACATACATTTATAGCTGTTGATGGTGCTGCATGGTAAATTTTAATGGTTGTATGAAGGTAAATAAAATAGAAATTAGAGTAGAGCCATTAATCAATACAATCAGGTATATTTAGTAGTAATATATGTAACCTACAGGACAGACATTGGTTAATGAGGAATTATAGTTAGTCTTGTTTAATATGTGATCTCAGCCACAGCCATTGGTCAATAAGAAACCTACAGTCACAGCCATTGGTCAATGAGAAACCTACAGTCACAGCCATTGGTCAATGAGAAACCTACAGTCACAGTCATTGGTCAATTAGAAACCTACAATACACTTATTGGCTAATTAGAAATCTACAATACAATCCTTGGTCCATTAAAGACAAAGAATTCCATTCAGTGTTAAAAAAAATGGTGCCAGTACCTGACTATAGAGCTCGACAGAAGATTCCCCCTTGAGCTGGTGCCCAGTGAGGTAGGTGTTGTGGGAAGATGCTATGTAGTAATGGGGCAGGGGATGGTCCATGTCCTGGTCAATAGTGAGATCAAACAGTTCAACAAACTGGACAATAGCATACCAGTGGATCTATTAACTAGTCTACTTGGCTAACATGTTAAACACCTAGATCTAAATCCCAAATTTATAATTTTTCAAGTCATATAAATATTTAACTAAAAATGAAATATAAAATGACCTCGTCTGTGTGACTACTTTTTTCATATGCGTGTGCATAGTTGTTTTTATCCATCAACATCCTGGCAAAGCCTTCAAAGGACATGAAGCACCTACTTCTCATTGCAGGGTCTGGTTCAAACTTTCTTACCAACTCAGTTATCTCCTCTTGGTCCAAGTGCTCTTCCTAATCAAAGTTACAGAGATGTCGTTAAAAAAATATGAAAAAATTAATAAAAATCAACATTAATAAGGTTTGCTGACATTATTATTGATATGGACCAAAAAATTTGTTTTTTTGTACATTTCATTTTCTAAGTACACTTTCAAAAAGATTAAAAGCTTTAATTTTTTTTAAAAATTAAGTTTGAAATAAGATTTGCAAATGCAGAGATTTTGAACATAATATTTTTACTTTGAGGCTGTATTTCTGTTTACTTTTAAATGTGGTGTTTTTGTGTGTGTCACCTTTGATATAACAAACAGTGGCTATTTAATCAAGAACATCATAATGTAATATTTTGATTCATGGTTGGTTTGATAAAGGACGCTGGTCACTGTGACAATGACTGATGAAGACAACACAAAGCTGACCTGGAAGTTGACGAGGAAGTCGTGTATCTCAGCGGGTGTCAGGTAGGAGCTGTGGCTGGTGTCCACCCCCGCACAGTTGGAGATGATGCTGGACACTGCCAGGGCGTCGCAGATCTTGTGGCGCTGTTGGCTGTCCAGCTTGAGGTCTTGTGCTGTGATTCTTGTAATGGAACCTACACACACACAAACACAACTTTTTTGTCACTAGGACTGTGATTCTTGTAATGGAACCTACACACACACAACTGTTTTGTCACTAGGACTGTGATTCTTGTAATGGAACCTACACACACACAACTGTTTTGTCACTAGGACTGTGATTCTTGTAATGGAACCTACACACATAAAACTTTTGTCACTAGGACTGTGACTCTTGTAATGGAACCTACACACATAAAACTTTTGTCACTAGGACTGTGACTCTTGTAATGGAACCTACACACATAAAACTTTTGTCACTAGGACTGTGATTCTTGTAATGGAACCTACACACATAAAACTTTTGTCACTAGGACTGTGATTCTTGTAATGGAACCTACACAGAAACACAACTTTTTTGTCACTAGGACTGTGATTCTTGTAATGGAACCTACACACATAAAACTTTTGTCACTAGGACTGTGATTCTTGTAATGGAACCTACACACAAACACAACTTTTTTGTCACTTCAGGATTTGTGGAGTAGTTAAGCAAATTACCTGTTTCAGCCTGGGGGGGGGGGGGGGGGGATGCACTTGAAACATTCAGGGGGAGGGAGGGGTCCAACAACTAAATTTTACTGGGGCAGACACTGGGAAACTGGTAAAAGTATATGCTTTCTACATCATTTTATTTTGTTTGGGGGGGGGGGGGGGGGGGAGGCCTTCTAGAGATACCTGAAAGAAACACTGGCCATGGTGTAGGTGAAATAAAGTTCACCTAATTCTGTGACCTCTGCATATGCCAGGGATAGTGTAGTCAGCTTTATGCTCATCACCTGTACGCCCCTTAGCGTAAGTCAGGTACCTATGAGAGCTGAGTGGACTCAGGGACATAATCCAATCCATGCGATTCAAACCTTAGACTTTTGGGTGAACATCATTTGCTCTACATCAAACCTTGCCTTCACATTTGAGAATAGTGTCTTAAGTTATCTGTTTCAATTAATTCCATCCCACCTCCTGATATTATTTAACCTTGTAGACCATAATGTAAATAAAAAAATAAAACGTACATATATTATCACTAGTGGTGGCCTGGCTAGGAATGTCTACTGACGTCATGGCCTCGTCCACGTGCGGCTTCTTGCTGGAGGAGATCTGGTCAAACAAGTCCTTCAGGTCCTTCCGGCACCGCAGACCAAACGACTTGAACAGGTCCACGAAGTCCAAAAACGACAGCTGTGTCGAGTGGGTGATGGAGCTGGACTTGTCCCCACTGCGGCACCCCAGAGACATGCGCCGTCTGCGGGACCGGTACCTGCTGGTGAAGCTGAAGGTCAAGCTCCGGGGACGGAAGCCCAGAGTCGGGCTGCCCCGGGCGATTTGGTTCAGCGTGGGGTCGGAGTTGTGGGACTTGTTCATCTCGGAGCGGATCTTGCGGAGTGGGCTTGGGGTGCGCTTGGCTTTACCAGCAGACGATTTGACGCTGTCTGGGGCTGCTCCCCCGTGGGCGTGGCTGCCGCTTTTGGCGGGGTCGACCTGGGGACGATACACATTGGTTGACGTCACACGCTCTATACACGCCTAGGTGAGATGAAGGAGATACACAAGAAGAAACCACGCCCAGATGTAGATACACAAGACAGAAACCACGCCCAGATGTAGATACACAAGACCAAAGCCACGTTCAGATGTAGTTATTTAAGACAAAAGGCACACCCAGTTGTAGATATATAAGATTATCCAAACCCAGCTATAGATACATAAAACATACGACACTAAGCTTTAAGTTATGCCTTTATTTTTAAAAAAAATCAAAAACTTCCTCCAACATATTATAATGTCTGAGATCACTGAACTATTCTAACAAATATGTTAGAAGTGTTTTTCTCACGCTGTGTAATCAGACTGTGGGCGAAGGCCGATTGTTGAATTTACCAGAGTTTTATTTCTTTAAAAAAAATTACAATATGATTTAAAATTGGCTCGCTAATATTCTAGAATCTAGATCTATATCCAGAGTGAAACAACTAAATATAGGGATGGTTGAAGAAAAAAATGCCAGCATAATGTAAGTCAATGTATCTAAAAATGACTTGACATTTTCTAAATGTAATCAAGTCGTCTACGAGCAGTTTATTGTTCAGTTTATCCATAACCTACCGCGTGGGCTTTGACTAATCCCCGAGTCTGTTTATAATCCCTTTGGACAAATGTACATATTCAAAGCCCTAATCCGACACTAATAGAAAAGTTGGGAGTAGATATGGGCGGATAACTCTACATTTGTCAAATAGTTACACATTTACATCTGACGCACAGAACTAGAAACATATATCAATTTGCTTGGATCTACTGGATTGTTAGTTGAAACGTGTTCAACATCTCGTCAGTAAAATGACGTCATTTATAGGTCATGTTTACGTCATTTAGGAAACACGCGCCGAAAACGTCGTTTTCTGGCAACACGCATTGTATCGTGTGTAGTTAATGGCAACACGCATTGCATCGTGTGTAGTTAATGGCAACACGCATTGCATCGTGTGTAGTTAATGGCAACACGCATTGTATCGTGTGTAGTTAATGGCAACACGCATTGTATCGTGTGTAGTTAATGTCAACACGCATTGTGTCGTGTGTAGTTAATGGCAACACGCATTGTATCGTGTGTAGTTAATGGCAACACGCATTGTATCGTGTGTAGTTAATGGCAACACGCATGGTATCGTGTGTAGTTAATGGCAACACGCATTGCATCGTGTGTAGTTAATGGCAACACGCATTGCATCGTGTGTAGTTAATGGCAACACGCATTGTATCGTGTGTAGTTAATGGCAACACGCTTTGTATCGTGTGTAGTTAATGGCAACACGCATTGTATCGTGTGTAGTTAATGGCAACACGTATTGTATCGTGTGTAGTTAATGGCAACACGCTTTGTATCGTGTGTAGTTAATGGCAACACGCATTGTATCGTGTGTAGTTAATAACATGTCGTCGTCTGTATATGCATATAGATGGCCAATTGCTGAAGGCATAGAGTAAGAGAATTAGGAGGAGTTATCGCCCGCGGTCAACTTATTGATTTCACATTGATCAGTCAGTCTTCCTGTTGTCCTACAGAGATTTCACATACTGATGGTGCTACATGTTTTGGTGCTACATGTTTTAGTGCTGTGTGTTTTGGTGCTATGTGTTTTGGTGTTATATGTCTTAGTGATACATGTTTTGGTCTACGTGTTTAAGTGCTTCATGTTTGAGTGCTACATGTTTTCAGTGATTCTTTTTTCTTCGGGAGGGCACTTGATATTTTCCGGGGGGGGGGGGGGAAGGGTAAACATTTTTCGGGGGGGGGGGGGGGGGCTATGCCCCCAAAGAGATGCCTGGAAGAAACTCTGCATGTTTGAGTGCTACATGTTTTGGTGCTACATGGTTTAATGCTAAATATTTCGCGTTTTGGTGCGGCTTATTTTGGTGTTATATATTTTAGGTGTTTTTCTGTTAAATATCTCATACCTTTCGGTGCTAATCTATATATTTTATACGTTTCGGTAATACACACACACACACACACACACACACACATATATATATATATATATATATATATATATATATATATATATATATATATATATATATATATATATTCTGGTGCTAAATATTGCAAGTTTTTTGTGCTACAGCTTTGTGTATCAATTAATGGGGTGGAGGGGGGTGGGGTGGGGATGCACAATTTTAACCCCATGCTTTCTTCCTATTGCCTAAGTTGTCAAATGTGCGACAGAGCATCCAGACGGCAGAAAACGAGGAGAGGAGGGAGGGAGGGAGGGGTGAAGAAGAGGGAGGGGGAGGAAGGAAGGTGAACTCCACACAACAGGTCTTGTCAGGTCAGTCAGTGGTTAATCAATCAGCCCCCCCCCTCCTCCTCCACTCTCCCCATTTTACCCAAGTAGACGACGAACAGCACGCCATTAGAAGATGAGTTAATGCATGGTTATCCCAGGGCTCGGGGGGGGGGGGGAGACCTGCTTCCATAAGGGTTCTTGTGTCCTGGGTGTTGCGGCGACTGTTCCCCCGCGCTTGTCATTACGGACACTAATTAGCCTTGTGATTAAAAACATAACGTATGATGCAAGCTTGTTTCTGCGGTTGTAATTAGCGCGAATGGTGGAATTAAATTATACCATCCGTCATCGTTTATAAGTTAATTTATACAGCCATGTGCTGTACAATTGATAGCGGTGGATCTATCGTGTGGATGTATTTTGTTATAGGGCAGCGGGAAGTAATTGTATCGTTTGAACGTGTGGGATAGATAGATAGATAGATAGATAGATAGATAGATAGATAGATAGATAGATAGATAGATAGATAGATAGATAGATAGATAGATAGATAGATAGATAGATAGATAGATAGATAAATAGATAAATAGATAAATAGATAGATAGATAGATAGATAGATAGATAGATAGATAGATAGATAGATAGATAGATAGATAGATAGATAGATAGATAGATAGAATGTTTTCACTTGTTGCCTGTGGTAAGACTGAACGAAACTGCATGAATACATACACAGAACTATAAGTTAAATTAAAGGCCATCCATACCCCACATTAGAGGCCATATATACGTCACATTAGAGGCCATCTATTCCCCACAGTTAAGGCCATTCACATCCAACATTAAAGGCCATCCGCACCCCACATTAAAGGCCATCTATACCCCACATTAAAGGCCATCTATATATCATATTACAGGCCATCTATAAAAAGGCCATCTATACCCCACTTTTGAGGCCATCCACAAGCCACATTAAAAGCTGTGCTGTCCCTATCCCCGCATACATCAAAGCGATTCGCACTAGCCAACATAAATATGTATTCATGACACACAGCGATTATATTTCCTTAGATAACGGTTTCCGGATGCTATCCTTGATACGGTTGACGGCATTTTTTGACCAGCAGTCGGATGTATGATTAGATACTCAATTCGTTCACGCGCATCCGTCATGCGCAGCAACATCCCGCACATTATCATTTGATTTAAACAATATAATTTTAAACATTAAAATACAACTGTTAAATATATTTACCCAAAATATTGGCAAGAACAGCCAAAATAGATATTTGATATTGTATAAAATAACATCACACATGTAATGTAGCATAAAAAATAACATTTTTTAAAGAGCGAAATAATAATAAAAAAATGGCTGATTTGTCCTACTTCGATAAACTGTCTTCATCAGAAACACAGTGATCAACAGCACACGACTGAGTAAAGAAGTAAACAAATCCTGGTATCTCCCAGACGGCACTGTTAAGTTCTAGTGATGTCAAGTAGGAGGCTTCGACCAGGAAATGATTCCACATCCCACATTTTGAGTGACGTGGAAGGGGAGGCCACCCACCCACGTCTGGCTATGATAGCAGACCAGACGATGTAAATTAGCCAGCTCGTGTGTATGGAATGATTCGATTGACCACAAGTTTATTGACCTGGCACATGGACAGACATGTTGTTTATGTTTTCTAACGTGTACGTGAGTTACACTGTACAGTATAAAGCTTGCCGTCTTGTTATTGAGGGTGGGGAAGAACAAGGGCGTAAGATCTAGTTCAACTTGTTTCAGAAGGTTGAAATTGAAATCAATAGCGGCGGCTTGTGGTCTCAGTGGCAGAAAATTAGTATTACAAAATGTAAATTTCACGAAACAAAAACATCAGATAAAAATGTGTCAGAAAATAAACATTATATATATATATATATATATATATATATATATATATATATATATATATATATATATATATATATATATATATATCGATCTACATAAAAATAACTGAGAATTAAATTTAAAAATTTGAACAAGAAAATATAAAGAAAAGAAAAATAGAAAATAATTATCAAACATAAATATAACGAAATAAAAATTTAATGTAAAAACAAAATCCGAACAAAAAATAAGCCAAAACAATGATAGTCATATACCATCAAACACCATCGCGATGAGGATATAAATCTAGTCAAACAAAAAAAGTCACCAGCTATCAGAAAATTAAAAAACATCAGGGGAAAAAATATCGGAATAAAATATCCGACAACAAAACGTGGTCTTTGTGGGACAAATCTAATACTCGATCTTTGATTGACTGGGATGTCCTGGTCCATTTTTAGAGTACAAAAACAAATCACATTTGTTATAACAAAAACAGACATTTGTTATTTATAACAAAAACAGACATTTGAATTTCACATGAAAATTTGAGGAAGTTTTTTTGGGATTATATAATCAGTGTTGGGAGAGATCGAGCCTTATCTGCCAGAGGGTTTGAACTCGAGACTTTTTTTTTCGAATTTATCACCCATGAGCTTTGCCGACTCGACAATGCTTCCATTATACCGTAATTAAGGATTACGTGTCAACTGGTTATGCGCCATTGAGGCAATTGACTCCGATTTCAGCCTGCTTTTCTATTTGGATTTGCTTCCAACCAAGAACAAACTACAAGGCAGCAGTTGTT